ACAGCAAAACCAATCTCTATGAAGCGTCATATGGAAAGACACTCTAGTATCAATTATCCATGAAGCGTCATATGGAAAGACACTCTAGTATCAATTATCCATGCACTGCAGTAACCATGTGATGAATTGCAGACGAGATACATGTCTCCCATGCCGCTGTCATCATCCTTTTTTGTACTAGAGGATGATGCCTCATCTCGCTTCTCTGGACTTGCACTTTTGTTTCTGCAATCTTTCTTCAAGTGTCCAGGCTTTTTGCACTTCCAAAACGTTATTTCCAATCGATCTGCTTTTAGATATTCCTCTGGACTTATTCCTGCCACCAAATCTAGATTTGGATCGTTCACTGTTCCTTCCTCTTACGAAAAGAGCCCCTTGCGTTGCACTATTAGAACCTGCTCTCCTCATCTCCTCAGACAATAGAGTAGCTATAATGCCCTCAAAGGATAATGCACTAACATCAGTGTCAATCGATATAATTATATGTTTCCATGAATTCGGCAGTGAACACAACAAAGCACATGCTTTATCTTCCTCATCCAGATTGATATCGATAGATGCAAGTTGCCCACAAATAGTATTAAATTCGTTTAAGTGTGCAGTAAAAAAAAATTCACCTTCGCTCATCCGCAAGTTGTACAGTTGTTTCCACATAAAAAGTTTGTTCACGAGCAACTTGCTCTGATAAAGGTTTTCCAGCTTCGTCTAGAGATCTTTTACCGTTTTCTCAAAAGTCATGTTCACTAGAACGCTATCCGCAAGGCATGGCCAGATTAGGCTTCGCGCCCTCCAATCACTGCTATTCCACACCTTCAATTCATCAAACGTGGACTCGGTCTCCCTTGTCTTCTCCTTAGATTTTTCCTTGGGTTTATCTTCTTCGATCACGTGACATAGATCTTTGTCCACGAGCAAAGCCTCCATCTTCAATTTCCATAACTCGAAACCCCTTTCCTCCGAACTTCTCTACTTCAATCCGTGATTGACCAGCTGACGACATCTTCTCAAGATTCGATTTTTCGAATCTCTCTTCACCAAGAGACTGTAACCTAAAACCTTGCTCTAATACCAGATGTTACAATCCGCCGCACAATCACAAAGAAATAGAGAGTAAAAAACAAGAAAGAGAATCGAGATACAAGGATTTTATCCTAGTTCATCCTTAAACTAGGGTTATGTCCAGTAGAGGATTCCATTATAATTAGCACCTCGCACCTCTCTGTTACATCTCTCAATTACAAGAGAAAAAGACTATATATAGGCAATAGTTTGATTCAAAATAGGAAATTTCTTTCTAGGAAACCTATTATAATTACAAAAACCTACGCCAATTAGAAAAAAACCTAATTGAATTAGGAAACTTTCCTTTTCCGGGCTCAAACTATAAAAGCCCTCTTGCGGCTCGGGACTGCCGCTACCGTGACCCTAGCCCATTCACCGGGGGGTGGGGCTCCCGTACTTTCCTGTCGACGGGAAGTATGAACTACACCTTAACATTATCAGCATCATGAGAGGCTAGGTCAATCGTTTTCACATCTTTTTCACATGTAGCAAAGAATCTCCTGCAGAAGGAATGAGCCGCTTCTTTTTCTTGGTTTTGAAGGAAGAAGACGCCACCAGTTTATGCGGGAAACGTCGTGTCCGATGCGGGTTTATGGGCAAAGGCAAGACAAAGTAAGCAAAGCTTTGGCTGCCTTCTTCACATCTCACCAACTTCAGCTGGCCCATCTTCGTCGAAAACGATTAACCTAATCCCCTATGCCCCATTACGCTAACCCAATAGAACAAACAAGAAAAGACAACAATAATTGACTGAGCTTGAGCTTGTTTTATAAAAGAAATAATGGACGGAACCAACTACAGTTCGAACTTCAAATGTATCCGCATGAAATTGACTTTAACTGATCCTTTTTATCCTGTGCCTTTTGACAAATGCGACAAAAAATCGCACTCGAGATTTTCCTCTCCACTTTTCTTTTTCTGCAATTTTTAAAGCTCTAATGCAAAATCTATTTAGCAATTAGTGTAAAGAATCTATGTATGATATTATCATACTATTAGTGATTTTGTAATACATCCTTACACGATATGAAAATACAATACATTGTGCAACCATAATATTTTCGTCTATACATTACAAAACGAAATGTTATAGAATTCATTTGATTTTGCAATAATATCCATACCCTAATAATGGCAGTTTATATCCCATGGCCTTTTTTTTTGGCTTGACTAACATCCTTAGATTTGTTTCTTTAAATGCATCAAACTATCTCCAATCCCCGTTCCGGATGCCCATCTTCCCCAAATTGCAATACGTGGTCATTGTTGCACCGTCGCTATTGTATAATATAAAGAACCCTTCTTCCTTTTTTTTCTTGTTTTTTAGGTCGAATAACCCTTCTTCGTTTCCCCTTGACGATAGATTTCCAAGTTCGTGGGTCGTAAAGTAAGATGCAATCATGGTCAAACATGCTGGATGCCGGATGGGAGTTTTAAATTCCCTTTGCGTCTTCTATATTCCCGCTACTCTCTTTATCTTCCCTCTATGGAAATTAAAGAAATAAATGAATGAAAAACACAAAACACAAAACAGAGATCTCGAGTCAGTCGCAACAAATGAAACTATTCTTACTGACCAAGAAGAAGAAGAAGAAACACACTCCCCTCGCCGTTTTTTATTTCAATCATGCCAACGAACTCAGAAAGAAAAAACACAGCTTCTTTCCTTCTTGATCTACCAACTCAAAAAATCGTATTCTAATAGACTCGTATGATCTCAGAATTTTCAGAAAGAAAGAAAACTCATGTATTTCCCCTGGCTTGAATAGCTCGACAAGAACTCAGAAAAAGAACAGCAAAAATTAATGGAGAAAAATAGCGCTGGCCAGTAATTTCCTCAAGCTGAGACTGAGTAATCGAGGATCCGGGCGATGCTGTACACGGCGAGGGCGTCGGAAGGAAAAGAGGTCGGGCTCGAGGACGGGGAGCATTCGAGGGGTGGTGTTGTGGGCAGGAGGATCGACAAGCGAGAGCCTATGCTCAAGAGCTTGAGTAGCAAGAAGGTGACGTGTTGAGGGGGTGGGGTGATGGCGGGGACGGGGAGCACTCGAGGGGTCGTTGGCAGAGAGAACAGAGGCCTAGTTGCAGGAAAAGTTTCAAAAAAGTCCTAAACCTTTTACATGGGTGTCAATTTAATACTAAATTTTTTTTATACAAATTCAGTCCTAAACATTTTAATACAGTTCCAATTTAGTCCTTTCGGCTAATTTTGGCCAAATATTGCTGACGTGGATGCCGACCGGATTACGTGGCACCGCCGACATTAACGTGAACAATTTTTAATAATATTTTAATATTTTTCTAATTTTTTTATTACTTTTTCTGATTTTTTTCTTTTTTTCTTTTTTTCTTTCTTTTCTTTTTTCCTTTCTTCTTCTTCTTCTTTCTTTTCCGATGACCGGCCACTAGCCATGGCCTCGCGGGCTGGCCTCACCTGAGCGAGGGTTGCCATCGCCTAGGCAGGCGAGGGCGAGGCCTGGCTCGGCGAGGGCCAACCCCGGCAAGGGCTCCCCTCACCAAATCTGGCTAGGCCGGCCCTTGCCCAGGCTAGGGCGGCCTCGCCAGATCTAGCCTGGACAACGAGCAACGGTGAAGGCAATTGGACTGGCTGTGCAATGACATTGGACGAGAGGGACGATAGCACAGCAAGCAACGAATAGGAGCCTGGACTGGTTGTGCAATGTGAAGACCAGCAAACATGGACTGGATGAAGGTGGCACGATAAGCGGCGTGGCTGAACAGGCCCAGCGAGTGTTGGCCTCGCCCAGGCCAAATCTGGCGAGGCCGACCCTCGCCAAGCGTCACCCGGGCAAAGGCAACGCCCGGCGAGGCTGCCCTGGCCTGGGTGAAGGCTGGCCTCACCAGATCTAGCGAGGGGAGCCCTCGCCGGGCCAGGCCTCGCCCTCACCTGACCGGGCAACGGCGACCCTCGCTCAGGCGAGGCCAGCCCACATGGCCATGGCCGGCCATTGCCAACTGATCACTGGAAAAGGAAGAAGAAGAAGAAAGGAAAAAAGAAAAAAATCAGAAAAAATAAATAAAATATTTGAAAAGATATTAAAATATTATTCAAAATTATCCACGTCAACGCCGGCAGTGCCACGTAAGCCGGTCGGCGTCCACGTCAACATATCAGGCCAAAATAGCTAGAATGACTAAATTTGCACTATATTAGAAGGTTTAGGACTAAATTGGCATCAATGTAAAATGTTTATGACCTTTTTTGACACTTTTCCCACCCAGTTGCCAAAGTCGCTGGAGGAATTTGTTGTCCCACATCGGTTGTGGAAGAGACTGGTGGTCAATTTCTAAGTGTGAGGGAAAGCCTCACCCTTTAAGCTAGCTTTTGGGGTGAGAGAGGCCCAAAACCACCTAACACTGGTATCAGAGCTCAGGTTGCAAATAAGTCTGGACCCAATAGTCACACGGAAGAGTTACAGGTTGTTACGTCTCCAACCCATGTCTTTTTCACCCCAAAAGCTAGCTCAAAAGATAGAGCTTTCCCTCACACTTAGAAATTGATCATCAGCCCCTTCCACAATCGATGTGAGATAATTTCAACAGCATTGAGGATGTTGCGGACTACTAGCTCCTTTTACAATCAAAGTGGGACAACCCCAACAGAATTGAGGATGTTGGTATCTTGCTAGAGAGTGGAGATAGATCACGGAGAGGAGCAAGAAGAAATTAAAGTGAGAGAAGAGAGTAGCAGGAGTGGAGTAGTGCCGAGTGAAAGATGGAATCAGACGTGGGGCCAGTCATGTACACATGATAACTGATAAGCGGCTCAAGTAAATTCCACGCGTACCTAATATTTTCTCTCCACTCGGTTGCCCATCCGGTTGTCCACACCTTGCAAAATAAATCATGCGGTTTAGCTTGCACCGTCCGTTATGCTTATCTATAAATAAAATATCTGTGGGCGTCTATATAAATCATTAGTGGACACAGACAGAGAGACACAGAGAGACAGAGAGAGAGAGATGGGAAGTGAGGGATATGTTCCATTGTTTGAGACTACAAGGGCCAGAGGGACGGTGGCGTACAGGGTGTTTGCAAGCACCATCTTCCTGGGGATATGCATGATATGGGCTTATAGATTGAGTCATGTGCCGAGTGAACCCGAGCACGGTCCGATCTGGGTCTGGTCTGGCCTGCTCGCGGCCGAGCTGTGGTTCGGCCTCTACTGGGTTCTCACGCAAGCTTGCCGCTGGAGCCTCGTCTATCGCCGCACCTTCAAGGATCGGCTCTCTCACAGGTCCGTCTCTCCCTCTCCCTCTCTCTAGCTAGCGTCGCGATGAAACTTGAATTGCAATGTTTACAGTTATCGGTTCAGTGGTCATCGACCATACTTGGTGATGATAAGTTTAAGAGAAGCACAGTATGCTAGCCAGCAGCAGCTGATTGCTCTTTGAACGGTCGTTGAGCATTAGAAGTTTAACCCAGAGAGAAGAGCTCCCTTGTTGAAAATTGCATGAAGTAGGTCCTTCTGATTGGATTAGGATGACGCAGAGTCCCCAGTTAGGCGGTAGCCGTATGGTCTACATAGAAATTGTAGTATTAATATTCTATAGGGAGTCTGTTTGACCTTTCTCCATCGCCACTCATGGCACTAAAGTCGAACCTGAAAGAAAAACAGATCACAAAACTCCAAAAATGGCTCACCCTCTCGAGCGAATGGTAAAGTAAACTATTTTAAATGCATAAACTATGATTAGATGAATGTGTGACTTTAATATAAAAAATTTAAACATTATTAATTGTTGGTAATTTTATTTATAGTGTGCAAATGAAAAAAATAATAACAAAAGCAGGTATGAAAAAGATCTACCTGGGGTGGACATATTTGTGTGCACGGCAGATCCCGCTATCGAGCCACCAATGATGGTGATCAATACTGTCCTGTCGATGATGGCTTACGATTACCCGCCGGAGAAAATAAGTGTCTATCTCTCGGATGACGCCGGTTCGAACATCACGTACTACGCTTTGCTAGAAGCTTCTCAATTCGCCAAGCACTGGATACCATTCTGCCGAAGATTCAAGGTGGAGCCCAGGTCGCCAGCGGCTTATTTCCGATCGCCGTCAAGCGATCAACTTAGCGCCAACGGTAAAAATGAAGAATTGTCCGCTATCAAGGTAAATAGTCTCTCTCACATGTTGATTTCCCCATTTTTAGTCAACAGGGCTAAACTGTCTATTTTCTCTTTTATTCTGATCATTGAAAAAGGAAATAATTTAATTTTGGGGGAATTCGGGGTTGAAAGTTCAACGCTCACAATAAAAATTAGGGCTTGTAAAGTTGGAGGAAATTTTCTCTAAAGGAGATAGAAGAGTTCTACCGTTGCGTGCCAATAAATTTCAATAAATGTCGATAAATATAAAAAAACTAATGTTAAAAATTAGTGGTGACTTTTTTTTTATGTAAATTGTTAGTAACTTATTAATATTTTGCAAAATTATCAACTTGTTCTCACAATTTGACATTTGCCAATATTGAACTAGCTTCCCCACTTTTATTTGCATAAATTACTAACTTTTTGGATTTATTTTACTAACATTTTGGATTTATTAACTCTCATATAAAATTACCTATTAAAATAGAGTGATTTACCAACTTATGTCGGACTAAAGAGGAGATCCTGAGTCTGAATTTGAGGAGTCTCCATAAAGAGAATCTTTTGCCATGGGCACATCTCATTCAACAATACCTCATATTTATATACTTTTTATAGAAATTATCAACTTTAATTGGAAAGAATTATCAATTTTTCTCCGATTAAATTAACAACTAATATTGAGTCACTAATGTTTGTTTGGTTATTTTAAACTACCAACTTCTATTCTCTCTCTGAACCAAGAAAAACTTTTTTTACTGAGAAACCATTTTTGGGAAGCAGAACAGCAGCATCGTCCAAGGAGATAGTTAGTTCTCTTGTAGATTACTAGGAACAATCATGTTCTGTCACTACTGCTTCGATAAAATTCGCGTAGGTGCATGCTAATCCTCAAAATCCAGATGATTCTTAATCTCTCTCAATTTCACCATCAGAAACTATATGAAGACATGAAGAATAGGATCGAAACTGCCCACAAACTCGGCCGGATCTCCGAGGATATCCGCTCAAAACATAAGGAGTTCTCTCAGTGGGATTCCTATATTTCTCGACACGATCACGACACGTTTCTTGAGGTATGCAACTTTTTATATCCTAAGCATAGTAGCTTGTAACTTCTCATGCTAATTATCTGCCGATGACTAATTAATTAGCCCGTTTGTTTCAGATACTAATCGATAGGACGACCCGGAAGGCCATGGATGCCAAAGGCAATCCGCTGCCCACACTGGTTTACATGGCTCGCGAAAAGAGGCCGCAATATTTTCATAACTTCAAAGCCGGAGCCATGAATGCGCTGGTAATGTGCGCACAGACAACAGAACTAGTACAAGACATGGAAACCGTGAATACATGCATTGATCTTGCATTAAGATGCTTTTTTTGTGAAGTTTGGTCTCAGAGTACTTGCATTTCTATCATCATGCTATGGTTTTCAGTGTCCTTATACTGACATCATCATGTGATGCAATTTTCTGAGGGCCGAATTCGTTCTCTGTTCGAAAATGCAGATAAGGGTATCATCGGCTAACAGCAACGGGAGGATCATTCTCAATGTGGACTGCGACATGTACTCGAACAACTCGGAGTCAATAAGAGACGCGCTTTGCTTTTTCATGGATGAAGAAAGAGGGGATGAGATTGCCTACGTGCAGTTCCCGCAAAACTTCGAGAATGTCACCAAGAACGAACAGTATAGCAGTTCATCAAGAGTGATTTTTGAGGTGAGTGGATATTCGCAGTCTTAGAGCTTCCTATATTATCTGTTTGCACGTCATTTTGCAATTTCGCATCATTTTAGTTGATCTTCTTGGCCGCCTCTTCTTTGATTGCATTGAAGGTGAAATTTCATGGCTCGGATGGTCAAGGAGGTGTGCTCTATGATGGGAGCGGCTGCTTTCACAGGCGAGACACTCTTTGCGGGAAGAAGATCAGCAGAAAAGTCATAACTAGATGGAGTGAAAATAGTGGAATCGACCAAAATGGAGGCATTTATAAACCAGAAGAGCTCAAGAAACTTGCAAGCTGCAGTTATGAGGAGAACACTGAATGGGGAAGAGAGGTTTAGTATTGTGTAGTATTGTCAATAGATGCCAATGAAACTACAACTGTTTAATCTGAGAAGATTGAGGACAGAAAAGGGCCTAAAAGGATTTGTTTCTGTGATTCGGGCAGATGGGCTTAAAGTACGGTTGTCTGTCGGACGACGTGATCACGGGGCTGTCAATCCAGTACCGAGGATGGAGATCCGTCTACTTCAACCCCAGGAGGAACGCTTTCCTAGGCGTCGTGCCAACCACGCTGCTCCAGTCGCTCGTGCAGCACAAGAGATGGTCGGTGGGCGAGTTCCAGATCTTGCTGTCCCGATACAGCCCGGCATGGCACGGGCTCGGGAAGATCAGCCCTGGCCTCATAATGTGCTATCTCCCCTATTGCCTCAAGGCTCCTAATTGCTTGCCGACTCTCTATTACACTATCATCCCCTCACTTTGCCTAGTGAAAGGCATTTCGTTGTTTCCAGAGGTATTCTTTACAAATCTTACTATGTTACTGTGTCCCCTTTTCAATTGCACTGCATTCAACTAGACAATGTCATCGTATCAGACAAATTATGGTCCTTTTTAGCTAAGTTTGTGTTACTATGAATCAGGTCACAAGCCCATGGTTCATTCCATTTGGATTCGTGATTTTTTGCAAATACGCTTATAGTTTGGCAGAGTACCTCTGGTCTGGCGGCACGGTCCTCGGTTGGTGGAACGACCAGAGAATGTGGCTCTACAAGAGGACTAGCTCTTACCTCTTCGCCGCCATCGACATAGTGGCAAAACTGCTGGGGTGCTCCGAGCCAGCGTTCGTGATCACTTCGAAGGTGGCCAAAGAAGGAGTCGCCCAGCGGTACGAGAAGGAGATGATGGAGTTCGGGGCCACGTCCCCAATGTTCACCATATTGACCACTCTCGCTCTGCTCAACCTGGTTTGCTTCCTCGGCGCGGCACTGAAGGGGTTCGCATCTGGGGGTGCCGGGTTCTTCGGATCGATGTCGCTGCAAGCAATTTTGTGTGCAGTTCTGATTCTTATCAATCTGCCAATCTATCATGGCATTCTAAGGAAGGATGAGGGCAAGATGCCAATTTCTACAACAGTTGCATCAACTGTGATTGCAGTGTCAGCCTGCACCATTTTTGTTTCCTTTTGATAGTAAATTAGACGATTCAAGTGGTTTTGGCTTTTACACTCACTGTAGGACAATTAGTTTATGAGGCTCTCTTTTGTTATCATCAATTGGAAGCTTTTATGAGAATAAGAATTTACATTGTCGACACTGCTGGTGGGAAAAAAAATCTCAAGCAACTTTTATCACAATTTATCTGTGGGCTAAAAAAATCTTAAGCAACTTTTATTACTATCCCTTGGTCCTAGCCGCAGAATTTTATTGTCCGTGCGAAATAAAAAAATATATTATGTTGGTAGATTATAATTAGTGTTGATAAAAATCAAAAGAATTAATAAAAAAACCGATGACATATTTTCCAGGTCAATTGTTTACATTTTATCAACGATTTTACGAAATTAACAATTTGTTTATAGTTTGCAAATTAACAATTTATGAACTGTCTTACCAAGTTTCACTAGTATAACTTACTAATGTTTTGAATTTTACTCTAATATGAAATTACTAACATGAATTCGAATGACTTACTAACTTTTGTCAGATTTTATTACCAATTGTTTTGTGGTTACCAACTTCCATTCAAGTTACTTACCATTCTTTCGTGTTTTATCAATTTTTCTATCTAATTACCAACTTTTATTTGTCTTGGTTTGCAAGTCGTTATATTTTGCTCAACTCATTCGAGAGATTACCAATCTAATTTGGTATGACTTGCCAACTTTTTTTCCCAATTAAATTATTACCTAGTATTTGGCTATCGATTTTTTTTTAGTTACTCACTTACTTGACTATTTTCGATTTTCCAACTTTTCTTGTGATTTACGAACTTTTTTTTACATTTCTTGCAATACATTATATTTATCAACTTTTCACTATCTTTTCTCCAATTAAATTGTAAATTATTTTTAGGTTACCAACTCTCATTTAAGATACTCAGCTCATTTAACTTTCTTTTAATTACCAGTTTTCGTTATACTTTATATTTTTTAATTACGTCTTATATTTACCAACTCTCATTTAAGATACTTAGCTAATTTAACTTTCTTTTAATTAGTAGTTTTCCTTATATTTTATATTTTTTAATTACATCTTATATTTACCAACTCTTATATAAAATTACTAGATTCAATTTAATTAATTACAAATTTTAATCGTTTGAATTATCAACTAGTTTTAGATTATCTACTCTTATGAATTAGTTACAATGTTTATTTAGTTTGTTTTAATTTATCAACTTTTTATTATTGGGTTACTTAATCTAGAAAAAAACTGGTAAGTCATTCAAATAAAAATCGATAGTTTCATTAATAATTGGTAAATTTAAGGTTTTTGTAAGAAAGACAAACAAAAGTTGGTTAAGATAAAAGAAGTTTTTGTTTTGTTTGAGATAAGAGAAGTTGGTAAGTTTTAAAAAAAAAAAAGGTTGCTAACAAATATAATAGGAGTTTAGTATCGCAAAACTAGTTGGCTAACTTAATTGTGGAAAAAAAAATAGTTGGTAAGTAGACAAATTAAAATGGTAATAAAATAGAAAAAGTTGGCAAATCTAAAAAACAAATAATCGTGGTGAAAAATTCACATGAAAGTTTGTACATAACCCAAAACCAATTGGTAGAGAAAAGTTAGTAAGTCATATAAAAAAGTTCAGTAATTTCACTAAATAAGGGTTGCATCGAAGGTGTTGATAAGAAAGATATATAAAAGAATATAAAAAATAAGATAATTTTTTTTATCAGAGATAACAATAGTAAATAACTAAAAAAACAAACAAGTATTAGTAACTAACTCAAATAGAGCTGGTAATGCAAAACCAATTAGTAACTTAATTGGAGAAAACTTAGTTATTATCCCAATTGAGGTTAATCATTTTTAAAATTGGTAAACTTACAATTTTGTATGTAAACAAAATAAAAGTAATAAATTTAATCGATATCGTTTACGGTCAGTTTATCCTCACGGGATTGAAAATATCTCCATTAATTTATAAGATGCTTAACAAAGGGTTCTTGAAGAGTCACAAACCATCCCAAAATTTGTCAAGAAGACATGTTTAAGAAATCGTTCACATCAGAAGACCGCATAAGGATTGTACGTTGTAAATGCAAGAAATTCCGACTGTAAACATGACGAAAAAGGTCGGGGAAAACAGAAGGATTCGCTTGGTTTTATTTCAATAAAAAAACTACCGCACTGTAATTGTCGCGGAGACATTAATTTAAAGTTTGACTTCCTCCTCAAACTTCATCGTAGAACACGGGAAGAAAGAGTTCCGTTTTCTTGAGGGAGCCCACCAGATTCCCACAAACTGAAATCCAAAGTCCGAGTGTTCTTGTGCCTCCCTTCGCATCGCTTGATAAGCCATCGCCTGATCTGAGAGCTGAGGTCTTATCAGCGAGTGTGTTCACGATCCATAAGGCACGACATTCTTCGCTTTTGTTGTTTTTTCCCCGACTTTGTCTCGATCTCTCTTGCTCTTTCTCTGCTTGGGTCTCTTTTGGCTTCCTGTTTTGGTCCCTGAATTTTGGTGATGAATTGTTAGATTCTTGAAATCGATTGTGGTGGGATGTTATTCGCTGCTTATGATTCGTGCCTGGGACGAGGTCTGCAGTTGATAAAGATCGCTTTTTGTTGATAAATTCGAGGAGGGATTTTTGTTCTGTGTGAACGTTGACCGAGTGCATGTTTGTGGTGATGATTGGAATGGCATTTCGAGGGAGTGGTAAAGAAAAAAATCGAAACTTGGCTCTAATTTTGTTATCTAGAGAAGGGATTTCTTCTTCCTTGTGTTTTTCTTTTGGTTCCTGGCTTTTCTCGATCACTATTTTAAGGAGGGCACAGTTCGTCTGTGCTTCAATTGCCCCAGTGGATGCTCTGTTGGATCTCTCTTTCGAAAGAGAGGAAGGAAGCAATGTGGGTGTGGAGTGACTGTCAAATTTTTATTTTTTTTTGTGGCGTTGTAGCTTTAGAGCTTTGTTGTCCTGTGCATGGCTGTAATGGTGACCGCAGAAGTGAGTGAATGATCTTTTAATGTGTTGTACCTTTAGAAAATTGCTATGTGCAAGTGCAAGGATTTGGCATTGTGCAGATAGTCTGCAGAATGCTAAGTAATCAGTTTTTTGGCTGGATGAAGGATTAGAAGCTGTTAAGTGCATATAGACTGATATTGAAAATTAACTTATATCTGTTTTAACTGCTATTGTTTTTGAAATAAAGCACCTCCTAAAAGCTAGAAGCAAGGGTTGAAAAGTCCTCTCAAACACCTCTGAAGACTTCAATTTTATTTCACCTTTTGGTTTTGCGTGTTGGCTGTAAGAAACTGCCAAAGGATGATCATCTTGTTTTGCTTCATTGAATAACATGCTGTTTTCTGAATCTGCAGATGAATTCTCATGCACCTGGTTATATGTTGACTGTGGTTCTGGGGCTATTTCTATCCCTACATGCGGTATCTGGAATTAGATTTATGATTGATAGGGAAGAATGCTTTGCCCATGATGTTCAGTATGAAGGGGACACTGTTCATGTATCTTTCGTGGTGATCAAATCTGATTCAGCTTGGCATTACAGTCAAGATGGTGTTGATCTTGTGGTAAGCTTCAGCTTTTGTTTGAGAAGTTACTTATTGCAGTGACTGTTCTTTGATGTGCAAGAAGTGCTCATCCCTAAGTGCAATGGTTCATGTCATTGGCTTAACTGGGTTGTGTTTTGTTTTTATTGAAAGCTGGTGATACCTTGATGATTTGTTTTTGGGGATGACCATCATGTCTTGCTCTATTCTTACCCAGTTAATTCCTTGCTTGGCAGTAGTCAAACAATTTAAATGGGCAGATCAGTTGTGCGATTTTTTGAACCTCTTATTAGTCTCTGCTGCCTCAGACAAGGCATCGCTGTGACTGTTTTTGGCAAATGTTGACACTATGTGTATCCCTTCTTGAAAACTGGGATAAACAAAATGTTGGTTCTTGGATATTAGGACATAGACAGGGTAAAGCCAGTATAGGCATGTTAGAATGCTTATCGGTTCTTATTTTGGGTAATTCTGAAGTAATCGATTAGAAGTTACTTTGCTGCAATATAGTGTGACACACTTCATCTTGGAAAGTAGGCAAGTGAGAGTTCTTAATAGCACATGGTTAATGGATCAGATTTAATGTACATGAAATACTGTACTCACATATACTTCTTTTTGTGAGGGATGCTGATTGTCTTCCTAAAGGAGATTCTTCGTTGAAGTTTATTAGCCTTTGGCAGCCTAGATGGATCAACTAGATCTTGCATATGCATATTTAGTTTTCCTTTTTCATGTTTGTTGGAACATGCTTTGAATTAAAGTCATGTTGATTATCCAATTCGTTAATTCTGTCAATAGCGTGCTTATCGATCTTTAACCTTTTGATAATGACCTAGATAACTGTACGTACTTTGCAACTTTTGAAATTGTCAGGTGAAAGGACCTTCTGGTAATCAGATTCAAGATTTTCATGACAAGATCAGTGAGAAATTTGAGTTTATGGCTCACCATAAGGGTGTTCATCGGTTCTGCTTTACTAACAAGTCTCCTTATCATGAAACCATCGACTTTGATGTACATGTTGGCCATTTTGCATACTACGATCAGCATGCAAAGGACGGTAGGACTCTGCCTTTTTTCTGTTCTTTTGTCTCTTGAAAACTTTATGAATATACCATGTGTAACTCTTTTTTATCTGTTGTGAATGTATCTGCAGAGCATATCAACCCCTTGTTGGAACAGATAGGGAAGTTGGAGGAGGCTCTCTACAACATTCAGTTTGAGCAGCATTGGCTGGAGGCTCAGACTGAGCGTCAAGCAATTGGTAACAAATTTTATGTCAAGTCCTCTTGCTATTCCAACCTTGTTTCATCTCCAACGGAAATAACTTTCCTATTTTAATGCTGAGTGGACCACCATAGTTTGATTCGACTCCCGTTTTCTCCAAAATCTCGAAGGTTATCACAAAGGTTATCACAACGTCTGCTCTTAAAAGACCTTTGGAAGTAAATTTCCCACAAGACAAGTTGAAAGCTATTTCTAGAGCCTTTGACAAGCTCATTTTATCCATTTGATTGACATAACCAGTCAGTTATATTGTTTATGATCCTGAAAATAATAAAACGTACCTAACTTGGCAGCAGCTGAAGAGGCGGACTTAGAAAACAAAGAAGGCAACAAAAAAGAAGATACGTGTTTGGTTGAGTGGGTTTCAAATGGTCATGGGTTTCGTTTCCATGTGTAATCTGCTTGATGTTTTGAAGTGTCTTATCACCACACTAAATGAAATGGGGATGACCTTGCTAATCAAATATTGTGTTCAATGATGGACATTACTTAGATATTGCATTCAATGAATCCTCATTCTATGATGATCTGTGATCGCAGTGACCGACGCAATGAGCAGAAGGGCAGTCCATAAGGCTTTCTTCGAGTCAGCAGCACTTATCGGGGCAAGCGTTCTCCAAGTTTACCTTCTCCGCCGCCTTTTTGAGAGGAAGCTCGGTATCTCTCGAGTTTAACATTGATACTGTCCGATGACGCTTAATTAATTAGAGATTTTGGTTACCAACACCAGTCTTCAATTCTTTCTTTTAAATATCCATGGAGACATGTATAGACAGGGAAACTGTTTACTTTGGGAAACGTGATATGGTAGATGACTTGGAGGTGAAAAACAGAATGCGTCAGGCCACGAAGAAAAATTGGGAAATTCTATAGGCTCCATCGTTAAGTTCATGGCAATTACCACTTATTCCTAACAGAGAGTGACGCTCGATTCAAATTGAAGCAAAAAGAAGGAAAAGATGGATAGCCATATCTTAACAGGTTCGGAGTTGCAATTACTGGGCTTGGAACCTTGGTCTCATTCTTGAGGTCTTTCACCGTCGATGCGTAACAGAAGTAGGTTGCAGGGGTGATATTGGAGCCATGTCATTCATACCGGTCGCAGGAAAAAGGAAGAGGAAAAAGCAGAGTGTCGATCGATCCCACCAATTTGTGGAATTTATCAACTACATCAATGATGTATGGCAAAAAGGTCATAGGCAAAGCCAGTCCGCAACCACAATCGCCGTTTTGCGTGCACACAACTTTGCAAACTTACGTTCTTTTCGGAACACATGCGCTCGGAGACATTTTTCTTTCACGTCCAATATCAACATGCCTTAAGACTCTTCCTTTTTCCGTAAACAAAGAAGAAGGGGAGCATATACATTTCTCCTTGTTACGAACTGGATTACCAACATCTTGAAATCGTCATTGGAACGATCCCTCAGCAGATTCGTGGAGATGACTTTTCCCCATGTCGAAGAGAGTTAACACCTAAATTCCTAAATAAAGAGAAATGAAATACGCATATGGCTATGGCTCACGATGTTCCCCCAACCAGAAACATCTGTTAGCTTGATGATAGAGGAAACAGTCGTAAGCTCGTATTTATATGCCTTAAAGCTTCAACAACATGCCCTTCAACGATGATGTATAACAATAAACTAAACCAGAGGGGAGAAAATAGGCAAAGACATTTCACAGACAGATCCAATTCACAAATACACAAAGCAGATACTTAATAAATTAACGATAGAACTAAGCAGCAGGAGAGAGAGCGAGAGAGAGAAAGAGAGAAGCATACTGCTGATAGATTATAGTAAGCATAACGCGTCATTATTTACTCATCCCCACAGACCCCACATTTACACCACGAGGAGCGATTCCAGCAAGAATAACAATGGCTCTAAACTGTTTGTATCTTCTTCAAGTGAACATTCTGGGGCTGCTTTAGCCTAACGAAGCGCGTCTTTTTTGGGAGCTCCTTGCCAGAGACCCTCGTCAAGATTCTGCTGGGCTCTGAATGCAGCAAAACCATTTCTTCTGAGTGCAGCAAAGAATTCACAGTAAGAGAGAGCGAATCAGCAAAAGTTGGGAGTCATGAAAACAAAAAAAATAAATAAGACTTCCAGCACCCAGACGTGGTTCATATATAATTGAGTCCAACTCTCATCCAATTCTTGCTCGCGCTGTACAGAATAATAGCATCTTTTGGATGGTCATTTTGAATGATTCAAATACGAACTAGCAAGGAGCGCCCAACCTGCTTAGTTTTATGGCACTGTCAAATCAATTTTTTCCCCTATCTGTGCAAGTTTGAGATTTCTATTTTGCATTCCTACATTTTCATCCTGACTAGCATAGCATATAAGAAAGTCTAAAATTAATTGTTCAACGGTTTAACTACTACATAATTGCAATCTTAAAAGATTATCCCAGAACAAATGACTGCAATAATTACTGCATCCCACACGTCTTAAACAGTTTGTTCCCAGGCTCTCAAGAAACAACTTACAGTTGGAGGTTTGCTCAGATCAACAGAGTGTTTAACTTGAGGGTTGGCCTTTCCTGGAGATTCAGGCTTGCCACCAGTCTTTTTTTCATCCCTTGCCTTGTTAAAGATGACAGTAAACCCCTCGGCTGAAGCAGGGTCATTCACATCCCATTCACCAAACTTTGGCAATGGCTGCCCCTTTTCCTGTTGGAGCAAGGAACAGATTGTTGAATGCACAAAATCTTCACCTCACTTCAGTCGCCACACGAAACATAACTATGGAACTATGGATTACATAGGGTGCACAACGCAACTTGTCAAGATAACAATTATAAGCAGAATAATTTCTAAATTTCTTAGACCACATGGTGTATATGTTAAAACATAATACAGAGGAACTCATTCTTGAATTAGATTAATGAAGAAACAGCTATATTGAATAAGCTGCACAGTGTGAAGATAAGAACAGTCACAATCAACGATGAAGACCAACAGCACCAAGACCTGGATCTGAAAGAAGTTAAGATGCCTTTAAGCAGTGGCAATTCTGATTCCAAGAAAAGGAATATGACCGGTGAGATTAGTACCTCTCGCGATAATGTGAAAAACAGTAATGATCATTCGATCGAACAATCTCCATGGTCCATTCACCGTTTCCATGATTCACACACATGGTAGGTTGCTTTAATCCCTTAGAGAAACCGGATAACATGCAAGCACAATGTTTCCTTCAGTGGGAAAGCTATAATCAGATATGATCCTCAGTCCTATCATATAATTACGTAGATAAGTTTGCTTCACCGTACAGGCTTCCCGCGAAATGGCAGCATAGATTCAGAATAGACCAGATCATCCTAATTCCTAAGCGACAATACGATGTAATACACCATGGAAAACTTTAAGAGCAGAAAAGGTTGAAGCAGATAAGCCACAACTTAAGTGCTTCCTCCATTCAAAGTAATTGCGCCACCAGACCCCATTACGCATAACAAACCTTCTCCCAAACAGGCTCACCTCACTCAAAGCAAGCTCCGACCCGGAAAACACGCGAAACTAATCGATCATCTCCTAAACACTCCACTTCCTCACTCAGATTTTTCCAAACGGACGACGCTTCACGGGCGACCCACCAATGGATTTCGGGGGAGGAAATTGGCGATGGAGGATCCACAATACTACTCCGTCGCCATTCAAAAAAAAAAATTACCGAAGAAAGAAAAATTAAAAGCACGCGACGGAAATATCCCACTGACGTCACTTTCAATCACGAAAAACCCGAATTCAGTAAGCTCCCCGAGACCCGGAACTGCTTCCCGATCGGTGCGAAGGCTAAAAATCAAACAAGATTCGCAGCTGATTCAAACCTAAGAAGCTCCGGCGCACGGCCAAAAACATCAACAATCCGACCGAGCATCCACTCAGCTCAGCGCGACCCGGACAGCGAGAAGAAAACAAGCAGTAACAGCAAACACCCGACGGAAACATCATCGGAACAAAAAAAAAAGAAAGAGCTCCTGGCAGCAAGATGACGTCGTACGACGGAATCGAGCAAAGACAGAGCGCGGAAGGATCGATCGAAGTTCAGAGGGTTGAGCCGATTCACGTACCGACATGAATCCTAGAGAGAGAAATCTTCCGGGAGGAGCCAAAAAAATGAACTTCGGAGAGAGAGAGAGAGAGGAGAGAGAGAGGGGTGATGAGTTGGGCCGAAGAACGGACCTCACAGCATGTGAAGCTATTATGCTGGTCTTTTTCCTTTTTTCCTTTTTTTTCCTCTTTTCTTTTTTTCCACGGGGGAATTTTTGCCCTCCGACAACAGTCGTCCAACGGCGTTACCTCCGTCCGTAACGGTGACTGCGGAGCGCCCGTGTCGCCGTTAGCGCAACGTCACCGGTGACGTGGCGCTATCATTAGGGACATGATGAGTCGGTCGGAGGATGAGCTGGCAGGTGATGGCACGGTGGTCCTGGTGGATGCGGAAGTGCCGCTGAGTATTTTCTCGTGTTGGTTTTTATGCCAGATGTATATATTATCACCATGTTATGATGATGCATTCGATGCATTAAATATCTTTTATTTTGAAAATTCGAAGATGGAAAAGGACAGATTTTTTTTCGAATTCTGATAATTTACGGAAAAATTAAATTTATTCCAAACTATCGGCACGTATCGCTATCTCGAATTTTGAAATGTCTCCACTCCAATGCGTTTCCCGTCAACTTGAGGTCTGGAATCGTTTTGCCCGGTCTTTTCACGTTTTGGTGGGTGAACGAATCACGTCTCGGGGCGACGACTTTTCATAATTGCAAATTGCGGGTTTTGAATATCCTTAAGTCGTACCAATACGAGTCTTATCAATGCTTTCAGCGCGCCGCTTGAGTCCCGGTCTTCATATTTTTCTCGTCTGTATTGTGAAAGGCCAATACCGCCCAGAAAGAAGAGGGAGGAAGAACAGGCACGAAACGAAAGGCGCAGCACGTCCAAATTAAGAAGCGCAAAAGGAAATTGCACAGACGTGTTCAAAATTAAATGGGCTAATAACACCAAATACAATATTTATTTCTCAAAAGAGCAACGAAGCAAGAAGGACAACCACCAAAATTTATTCAAACACGAAAGCCAACCAAGCATTGTTTTGTTATATAATGTCATGTTGCTGCTTTTTCACACTTGGCAAACCCAGATATCTAGGTTGTCCTCTCTCTGTCTCTCTGCAGAGGAGCTCAAGGCGCCATCCAGGACAACTAATTGTCTCATTTCTCAAGAGATGACTGAGTTTGTGAGTTCTGCGTATTCAGGGAGATTCTGACAGGACAACCGTGTATAGACAATAAACTATTGCAAAGCCATTTAAAGTTAATGTGCATATTCCTGTCAAATGTGCAGGTCCTGTGCCAAGCCCACAACAGAATTCACCATGTCTGGGGAAAGATTATATAAAGTGTACCTCCATGGACAGGTTTCAGTGACAGTTCAAGCTGCGTGTCTCGAGGGCACCAGCTGGAGACAGGCTAAGGAAAAACAGGGCTCAATGTCTTATTTTGTTTCCTCGGTACCAATTCAAGCATCTTCGTTTACTAAAAATATTCCACCTCGTGGGTCTGCAGTTCACGAGAAGCCTTGCTCCTTTCCCGTTGCCACCAAATAAAAAATGAGGATCAGTCAAGTTTAGCATCACTTGACAAGGAAGAAATAAAAAGAGAGGAAGAAATGGCAAAGGATTCTGATCCGTTCTTGTAGAATTGTTAGTAGTGTAAATGATATAGCCTGAGGAAGAAGAAAGAAGCACTTGAAGTTAACAATACTAGCCGCATACACTTTGTTGCGGTTGATACTGAAGCACACAGAGCCAAATGTTTAATTCTAAAAGTTATTAACTGCAGCATAAGCTTTGCCTCTACATATCAGTTCTCTCTCTATTCCAAAGAACCGTGGGAATGCTACACCAGCTAAGAGAGGCTATCATGGGACTAGTCAACACCAATTGCACGCAATAATCATGCCTTGTCATTTGCGCACTCAAACCAAAGCTTTAACAGCTGTAGTGATGTCAAAAGCCACATAAGAACATTGCAGCATACCTATCTATCCAAGTCAGCAAAGTTACCGATAGCAGTTAACTGCACATTTAGCCCTCTGAACCGATACTCCTGACTATGCCATTTGATTATGCTGACCACCTTGTCGCAGAACTAAATGTCAATATATAATTGGATTCCCATGTTCGCGGTCGCTCATTGGGGTCAAATATATGTTGCTCATTGGGGTCAAATATATGTTTCATCTTAAGACTAATCTGCAGAAACCTCATCGCAGGTCCTGGCCATGAAAATGTAATTCAATCAGCAAAAGCCAACAGGAAAATGAAATTGACACTTTTTCTAAATGACTCATCTGAATTCTGCATAGGCACTAGCTCTATCACTGTCGCAATTTCTTTGCTTAAGATGTCTGTGGACTTGATTTACAACAACCCAAGCCAGTACAAGCCGATGGCTTCAGTTTCCTTACTCGTCATCTTCACTAATTTCGAAGACTGAAAACTTTATGGGCAAAGTATTTGGACTCGTCTGCTTTCTGTTTCTGGATCTGCACAGAGAAACCACCGATCCTCGTGGAGTTGCTGGAGTACCAAGATTTCGGGAGGCCATAATTAAGGATTTCCCAACTCTGCTTCTTATTACGGCATTGCTTAAACTGCCAGGGCTTGGCTTAGTTGAAGACAATGTAGTCAACAGTCTTGGGGGTGTTTCAACTGCAAACTCTGCTGAAGCATCCACTTGAATGCTTGGGCAGTTATAGTTAAGTTTACTCTTCAATTGTAGTCTTAATGCTCTAGACTGAAAATCAGGGTTAGAAGGGCTACCAAAACTGTTCACCTCACTGAAATTTGTAAAGTATCTATTAATGATACCACCAACTGATATAACTTCTGATGACGTTGTGTTAGAGTGCTCATTATGTGTGCTGGATTTCCTTTCATTCAGTTGCACAACCTCACTTGTGCCTTTTGGAGAACTCTGAACACCGGTAAATGGATTTTCTTCAGTTCTAAAATGCCAGTTCATGTCGATTACATTAGTTCTATCTTCTTTGGAGCTACCTTCCCATCTATGCTTATTTCTCTTCTTTTTCTTTGGACCACGAATATCCCTTTGAAGCTGTGGTAATAGAGGTTTACCGTAGTGAGATCCCTTGGCTCCATATTTGTCCATTCTCTGAATGTTATGAGGCAAGAGAAGGCTCTGAGATTTCGAAGGGTCAGTGTCACAAACATCTGAGACATGATTGCCTATAGCTATGCAGTGATGTGAGCATGGCTGACTTAAACATTCTAAACATGTTATATCCAAGTGAATAAACCAGGACCCTTCGATTCCCTGGAAAGCATATTTTACTGGCATTGAATTCGGCAGGTAATAGAGGCATGACCTACGCTCCACCATCACTCCATCAACCCTAATCTCTCCTATTTCCGGAAAGCAACTGAAGTGAGCTCTCTCAAGGACCCCTACAAAAGAATAGAAGTGAGTGCAGTCAGATTGTTGAGGCAATGGCGAGCATCAAAAAGTGATCCAGAGTGCAGACTTAACTCCAGCAGGACAGTGAAGTAGGTAAACGCGTATGTATTGTCAATTGAGAGCAATTCAAGTATAGAACCAGAATGATAGGGGGGGCACATTAAAAACCAAAGGAATGTAAGCAAAATAAGTGATTGATTATCTATATTTTTGGTTGGCAATAACTCAGTGGGAGCTAAACTTGCAGCAAGCTAGAAATTAATCAAAGAAGCAGGGAAGCCTTACATTCAGATGATACTTCAAGAACCCAAAAAAGAGGAACGCTCAAGAGAAAAGCTCAACCTACTCATTCCAAATGCGTCGCCACCGCAGACCACAGCAAGACTAACGCAGGTTGTATCTCTAGCTAAACGGCCACAACAGCGAAGACCCGTCAACACCACAGTTTAACAATTGATCTGTCCGAGATTTGACCTTTCATGCAGCAGTGAGCAAAACATGCAATACAAAACAAGTTTCTCCAAAGTCAAATTTACATTCAGTTCCCTTAACAAGATGCATTAGCTCTAGATATCCTGCTAAATTGAATTACGAAAACTTAACAGCCAGCATCATCCTCCATGAGTTTATCATGACCGTCACTTTCATTATCCTACCTGGGAGGGCGCCTCATGCAATCGAGTAGTTGCAACTGCCCCCATCAAAATGGCCATTTTCCCCCCAATATGTAAGCTTTATGTATGTATAGGAAAATTAATCTCACCACCTAAACTTTGCGTTAGCGGCAATCAATAGCGATTAAGCACAGGATTAAGCAAAGTGATCAAGCATCTCTCTTTAGAGGCTCTGTGTAATCTTTCCGGCAAAGCGCCGAAACCTATCGCTTTCGTCTCCGCTCGTCCTGACCGTCCAAGAGAATGACACGAAGTCTCTTCGATCTCAACTCGAAAAGCCTCGCCCGTCTGCACAAAAAACTAAAAAAAAAAACCAAATGAACTCAACAATCTGCGCCATGTCGAGGAAATCGCACGTCCTCCGTCGCCGGGAGCCACACGATTCTCGAAGCGAACTAGAGGCTTCAGGCGCACGATCGATCACGCGAGAAACCGATCCGATTGATCCGAGGGAGGAGGCATTATCGACCGAGAGGAACCGAAACCCCACGAAGCAGAGCGAGAGAGAGAGAGAGAGAGAGAGAGGAAGAGCTCACTCTTTAGGTCCGAAGCCGTGATGGTGGGAGCGACGGAGACGGCGATGCGAGTGCCGATGCCGGTGACGGTGAACACCGGTACTTCGGCACGACGAGACGGTGAAGAAGAAGACATGCGACTGTGCGGACTGGGAGTGAGAGTGAGCGGAGGTTTTTTCGCACCGACTGCGGGAGCAACGACGATTGGAATGGGTCTGCCTTTGCAGTAGAAACGCCTGTATGTGATCGTGAAAAAATCAACGGTCTATATTTTCCTCAAATTTTTTTAACTATTGGTAAATTCGCGACGAATGTAAAAAAACATATTCATTATCGGGTTGATAACGTGAAAAACTTCAAAACTGGTACATCCGTAACAAATTTACCCACCATTAGCTTTCATCAAATTTTATCATTAAATTTGCTGACATGGATGACGCACGGTGACGTGACAAATCCACCTGGAAATCCATGGGTTTAATACCATAAAAAATCTCACATGGTATCAGAGCAAGGAGGTCCCGAGTTCAAATCTTTTTGGGCCATATTTGCCTCCCTAATTAAATGTCTACGCTTAGTACTAGGCAAAAAAGAAACCAGACTAACCTTGAAGGAGAATGTTAGAGAACCACATATTCATTTAACAGCTTAAGCTTTTACAATAGTTGGTTGTAGTCCCACCAAATCTCACATAAACCTAGTTTTGGATTTTTTCCTAGTATTAAACCTATGAATTTCCACGTGAACTTGCCACGTCACCATGTATCATCCACGTCAGCAAATTTAATGGTAAAATTTGAAGGAAGCTAATGGTGGATAAATTTATCACGGATATACCAATTTGGAGTTTTTGATGGTTAAAAAATTATTTTTGGGTAAATTTATCATAGATATACCAGTTTAGGATTTTTGGTGATCAAATAATTAATTTAGGTTAAATTATATATTTTTCATTTCGCACGGGAAATTTTGGTTGTTCTTTGGGCTCACAACATTTCTTTTATTCTCAAATGGAAAAATGTGTTGAAATGGTTAGCAAACGGATATTTGAGATTTTTTTCGTAGTATAAACCCATCTCTTCTTTGTTATACTCCAAGAAATACACTATTCATGAATAAAAAAGAATGTCTCTTTCTATAGCACCGCACTATGTCTAAGAGATAATAAAGAAAATGAAAAGTGTACTAAAAATTGTAAAACTTGTCACGAAAGTATAATCGAGTCTTAAAATTTCAAAAAAATGCAATCAAGTGCTAAAATTTTTCACGAAAATGCAATCGAATCTTAAAAATTTAAATTAATGCAATTGAGTGCTAAAATTTGTTACGAAAGTATAATCGAATATTAAAACTTAAAAAAAATGTAATCAAGTGCTAAAACTTGTCACGAAAGTATAATCTAGTCCTAAAACTTTTAAAAAGTGCAATCAATTCCTTCTATTAACTCCGTCCAACTTGACAAACGGAAAATGCTAACAAGTTTTAGAATTTGATTGCACAAACTTAACAAGTTTTAGGACTTGATTGCACTTTTTAAAATTTTAGGACTTAATTACACTATTATAAAATTAGACTGATTGCATATTACACATCCATTATTTAGAGAGTCTAATAAATTGTGCAGATAAATTTTGAATTTTAATATCACCAAGCTAGTACTCTCCTAAAGAAACATATGCTAAGGCACGAATAATAACCATTCTATTTCTCTGTTATTTATTTTTCTGTTCTCGAGAATATGTTTAGAACAGAAGTCCGTTTGGCAACGCAATTTCATTTTTCTATTTCTGGGACAAAGTTTTAGCTCTGAAATAAGTTTGGAACATAAATGAAAAGTAGAAACTTTCTATTTCTAGAACAGAAACAGAAATAGCAATTCTTTTAAAAGCTAACTCTCGCTACATGCGGCTGCCACCCGCCCGTTTGCCGATATACGAATTCTAGATCTACTCTATCAAACAAATTTCTATTCTGGGAACAAAAATTTTGTGTCCTTATCAACTATTCTTTCTACTTAGAAATAGAAAAAGCCTCTAATCTGGCTCCTTGTATTGCAAATCGATCTGATTAAGTTTTGGCGCGATCCGAGTTATGACCCTTCGATGTAGTGGCAACGTCTGGAGAAGCAGATGCCTAGGATGAGTCGTTTCTACAGGAGGTTTTGTGCCGGTCCGTCGACACAGGTTTTGATGCAATGAAGCAAGTTGATCACGTTTCGAGTTTTAAGGGCTGTGTGCTACGATAAATTAGGAGACTGTTTCTGGAACTCGCAAAATGACACGTGCCGCGACATCTAATGCCAAGTCTGCAGTTCCGAACTGCGAGTTCAGTCCAGCGGACCAGATTGTAGATTCTTCACGTGGCCGAGCAGAACATGTGTCTAATACGATTTAGAGGGCTCATCTAGTCTTCAGATGGACATCAGTGTTATGAGTTGTTTTAACCATTGAAGCTCAAAAAGCTTTTGAGTTTGATGGTGAAAGCTTCAGCTTAAGGTCAACTGTCCCTGAAGCTGTGCTCCAATCCAAGAGCAAACTATTGATTCAATACGACTCTCGCAAGAAGCATCAGAAAATCGAGTATTGATTTGATACGAGTGTTGATTCGGGTTTGATCCGAATGCTCACTCGAGGGATATTTCCAACTCTAATATCAGCCTCGACAGACCTAACACAGAAGAATATTGTGAATACTTGAAGAAGAAAAGTCTGAAAGAAATGTTCGTAAGTTATCTCATGACAGTGGCTAACATTAAGCGGCAGAAGCGCTTTCAGCCTTCTATCATCACTAGCGCTGTCGAATATAATGCAAAACTCCTGAGTCTACTACTGTGAACCGTTCAAACACATAATGCCGGGTGCTGAAAACGTCATGAATTTTTTTTATTTTATTTATCGACTTAACGGATTCATGAAAAACAAGTACATATCTGTTATTAGGTGTTGATGGATCCTTTTTTTTTTTTTTTAAGTTAGCGCCTTAACATTGCATGCCTTTTGTCTTCACTAGCAGTAGTAGCTTCAATTCTTGAGATTGTATAGCCTGAAAACAAGTTAAAATCTGCCTGCGGCGCGTTGAGCGTGTGATTGAATCCAGGGTATTCTTAAATTTCAACGCCAGAAGGTGCAAGAAAACCTTGGCTATTGATTGCAAAAGAGATACAGAAATGGCATCCGATTCGGCAATTATTTCGAGCCGTTGACCATGTAACTTTTTGATGCTGCTCCGGATTTTCTTCTCTTAAAAGTACATGCTTTTTTTCCTACCAAATATGGCGGTTTCCAGAGGATGCCAAGTTGTTTCACCTATGTAAGGCCTTGCCGAGTACCTGTACAGGCATCAACTCCAAAAAACTGAGAGAAGTTTGAAGGCAAGCACGCTCTATGCCTTGATTACCATCGTTTCATGATAATGACTGTATTCTTTCTGAGGCCGTTTTTTTCCTGATTGCAGCACCTAATCAAGGACATTATGCATGGTTTTTCCCCTTTCCATTTTCGATGCATGTATTGATAAATTGAAATATTTCGTTTTTTATCGTCGTTTTCCTAAGCTTATAACTTTGCCCTCTTACTTTTTCCACAAACGGCTTTAAAACCATTACTTTTCCGCTCAATTTCCTTATGCTGTTCGCACTACTCGGTGGTTCAACAGGTGCTTGCAAAGTGGGGAAAATGATGGGCGCGTCTTCAGATTCGGCTGATAATGAGAGCACAAGCAGTAATTCAGTGGGGTATGAATGTGGCTGCAGGTTGGCTGAGCTGGTTCTCAGGAACAGCTTGACCGCACTCATGGTGGATGGAGTGACTGCGTGTCGGCTCATAGCGAATGACATGCTGGAATCAGTCGGCGTCGAGACAGAGATGGTTGGAAGTGGGCAGGAGGCGCTCGAGCTCATCGAAGCGCATTACGACCTGATCCTCGTCGACAGCTATGTGTATGACACGAGCGGTCCTGAGGTAAAGGAACGAAAGGGAAAGGTTCTGCGAGACTTATTCCTGAGACAATGTGACTGTCCCAGGAATTTACTCTGACCTGAGAAAATCATGTATCTGCCCCATGTAGCTAAACAAGAAGCTAAATTTCTCTTCATTCTTTTTTTTTGGGGGTCAGATAGCAGTTCTAGCATGATGGCATAGAATCTTGATTCGCAAATCGGGCTCGAATATGCATGAAGAGCAGTTCTAGGATGAGAATGCACAGAAGCCTTTTAAACTAGGAACTTTAGTTTCACTACCAATTTATCACTAAACCGTGCGTGCTGTCTTTTCATTCTTCATTTCGCATGCCAAGACATCTAACTGGGTTCTACTTGTATATGTTCTTGTGGTAGACCATACGGCGAATCAGGCAGAGGGGCGTGCAAAGCAGGATCATCGGCCTAACCTCCGGAGAGATTGCGATGGATAGGGTGGAAATGATGGATGCTGGAGCTGATGGCTGCTTGGAGAAGCCGCTGTCCGAGGATGCTTTGGCCGATATCCAAGCTGAGATCGACTATGAGATCGACCACCGCTAGAGGGTGTCGGCAGAACAAGTCCCGGGGGCTCCATTTTTCATTGTCCTGTTGTCTTAGTTTCTAGGAAATAAGTCTCGATAGGTAGTCTAAGTTCGCTCAGCAGCTTGTATTAAGGTGGGGCGTCAGCAGTCAGCGGGGTTTGGCGGCCCATGTCTGGGAATGTTGGCCTCGGCATCAGTCCATTAAGTAAAGGAGTCCCCTTTCGATTTCTCGCTCTCTCTGCGTGATTTCTACTTCATGCATTCCCGAAGAGCTGATTTTCAATAATGACTCATGAAGTTGGAGCTTCCCACAAAATAATCCATGAAAGAGTACTCTTCAAAATGAAGTGGAAATGCTGCAGTTTTAATGAATGAATATCTTCGTAAAGAAAAATGACAGTCTTGTTTGCTGGACGAGAACAACGTTGTTCATTCCCATGAATTGTTAGAGGTCGGCCTCCTGGTGAAACTTAACGTAATCACATCAGTTTGATCTCTGCTCCTCTCCTTTACTCACGCCTCCGCATTTGAATCCCATTCGACGACTCGATCAAATAAGTTCACCTTGCAACTGGACCCCAGCTAGATTCTGTTTCATCAATTGATACCGAGGAAGTTGTTTGATGTGCGGCACAGATTCGTTTCCTGATAGTTCGAAGATGTAGTCCACTGTGATCGATCGCGGCACTGGGGCATTTGTTTTAATGTTGTTTTATTCTGAATAAGATGTCTGAAGGTTGAAGCTGGAACGGAAAAACCAAGACACCACATCTTCCATTTCGGTGCGATAGGGTTTGACATGGTTCTCCAATGAATTCAGGCAAGTAATTGAAATGGCCATGCTGAGATTGGTCATGGAGAGAGTTTTCTTTTCACCTAGTTATCCCATGACGTTTTTCAATATGTTCTTGAGTTCATATATGGCTTCTGGTGTTTGTTTCAAAAAACTGTACAGAAGTATAAAAACTTGGGAAATTTGTCAGGATAAATGAAGTAAGAAATTTCAATTACGAAATTAAACTTCCATGTCAAGAATTTATGGTGGGATTGAGGCAAAAGCCGGAAGAGTGATAATTCATTTTCCAATGACTAATCGATCTTGATAAACATATAATAACAAACTCGTCATTAAGGTTTAGAGTGATACATGAGACTTTACTTTATAAGGGCTTGATCATTCTCCTAGTAAGTAGCACTTTCTTGCACTTTTGACTAATTTTGCTGTCAATTAGACTCATGTAATTTCACTATGAATATGTTTGGTTTGGCTTTCAAATCCGACATAAAAACCAGGAAATTTCCCGCTTGATCGAAATAGTCATTTAACTTATAAAAGTTCTGAAAATTGAAAAGCTATTTCAAGTGTAATGCTTGTGTACGATGATTGAACTAGGATATTTGTTTTCAGAACTCACAAAATGACATGTATCGAGACTTCTAAAGCCGAGTCCGTGGTTCCGAACTGCGAGTTAAGTCCCACAGACCAGAATGTAGATTCTTCACGTGGCCGAGTAGAACACATGCCTGATTCGAACGAGAGGGCTCGTCCAATCTTCGGATGGATACCGGTGTTCTGAGTTGTGTTAACCCCATTGTAGCTCAGGAAGCTTTTAAGTCTGATGGTGAAAGCTTCAGCTCAAGGTCAAGAGTCCCTTGCGCTGGGTTGCAATCCAGGAGCAAACTATCGATGGGATCCAACACTCGCAAGAAGCATTGGAAAATCCCTCTTGTTCATACCAAGTGAACATGTGAAATTGCTTTCGATGATCAATTCGATGACTGATGCAGCAACTGAAAGAAAAGTAGATCATATTTCTAGGAGGCAGCACAGTTTAGTAATGAACTAATCGAACTCGGCATATGTATTACCACAAAGAGAAGAAGAAAAATTAGCAATAACCATCATGGAAATGACATTATCATTTATCAAGATTCGGGGTTGATCTAAATCTCAATTAGCTCACTCAAATGATATTTCTGACTCTACTATCACCCTCAACCGACTTAACACAGAAGAATAGTATGAGTACTTGAAGAAAAAAGTTGAAGGAAATGTTCGCAATGTTATCTCATGACAGTGGCGAACATTAAGCGGTAGAAGCGCTTTAGCCTGTTATTATCACTTACGCTGTCGAACATACTGCAAAACTGCTAAGTCTACAACCGTGAATCGTTCAAACACACAATGCCAAGTGTAAGAGGCATATGGCCGAGGATGAACAAATATGAATTTTTTGAAATATCGACTTAATGGATTCATGAAGATTCAAGTACACATCTGTTATCAGGTGTTGATAGATCCTTTTTCTAAGATGGTGCCTTAACCTATGCAGGCCTTTTAGCTTCACTGGCAGCAGTAACTTCATATCCTGAGATTGCACAGCCTCAAGACAAGTTAAAATCTGCCACGGCTCGTTGAGTGCGTGAAAATATCTAGGACATTCTTAAATTTTAATGCCAAAAGCGCAAGAAAACCCGGGCAATTTATTGCAAAAGTGAAAAAAAATCTCTGGTATCGGATTCGGCAATTATTTCGAGCCATTGACCACGTACCTTTTTCGATGCTGCTCCAGATTTCCTTCTCTTAAAATTACATGCTCCTTTACTACCAAATTTGGCAGTTTCCAGAGTACGCGGAGTCCGTTCCACCTATATAAGGCAGTACCAAGCACCTGTACAGGCATCAACTCCAAAAGAACTCGAGAAGTTCGAAGGTAAGCGCGCTTTATGCGACGATTAGCTTCGTTTCGTGATATAGACTGTATGCTTTCTGCGACCATTTTTTCCTACTTGCAGCCCCCAATCAAGGACTTTATGCATGGTGTATCGCCTTTTTTTTATGCATGTATTGATTGATTGAAATATTTCATGTGTCATCATGTTCCCAAGCTTATAACCATGCCCTCTCCCTCTTATCCTTTATTACAAACAGCTTAAAAAACATTGTTTTACCCCCTCAATTTTCTTATGCTATTCACATTACGCGGCGGTTCAACAGGTGCTTGCAAAGTGGGAAAAAAATCATGGGTGCGGCGCCAGATTCGACTGAAAGAAATGAGACCTCAAGCAGTAATTTGCCGGGGCATGAACGTGGCTGCAGGTGGGCTGAGCTGGTTCTCAGGAAACCCTTGACCGCGCTCGTGGTAGATGGAGTGACTGTGTGCCGGCTTATAGTGTATCACAGGCTGGAATCAGTCGGTGTCGAAACAAAGATGGTTGGAAGCGGGCAGGAGGCGCTTGAGCTCACCGAAGCGCATTACGACTTGATCCTCGTCGACAGATACATGCATCACATGAGTGGTCTCGAGGTAAAAGAGCGCAAAGGAATGGTCCTGCGAGACTAATTCCTGCGACAATGTGATTGTCCTAAGATCTTACTCCGACCAGAGAAGATCATATATTAGCCCCATGTAGCTAAACAAGAAGCTAAAGTCCTCATTCTTTCATCTTTATTTTGTCTTTGGTCAGATAGCAGTTCTAGCACGATGGCATAGAATCTTGGTTGGCAACGCAGCCAACGCAGGTTCGAATATGCATGAGGAACAGTTCTAGGATGAGAACGCACAAAAGCCTTTTAAAACTAAGAACTTTAGTTTTGCTGCCAATTTATTCCTGAACCTTGCGTGCTGTGTCTTTTCGATTTTTCGATTCGCACATGCCAAGACATCTCACCAGGGTTTCTCGTGGCAGACCATACGGCTAATGAGGGAGAGGGGCGTGCGAACCAAGATTGTCGGCCTGACGTCCGGAGAGCTCGAGACTGACAGGCCGGAAATGATGCAAGCTGGAGCCGACGACTGCCTGGAGAAGCCGCTGTCTGCGGATGCTTTGGCCCGTATCCTGGCCGAGATCGACCGCCACTGAAGGGCGCCAGGAGAGCAAGTCCAGGGAGGACTTCCTGTTTTCCCCTTTTTCTGTTTGTCTTTGGTTCTAGGAAATGAATCTGGATAGCTATGGTCTCTGTCTTTGTTTGCTCTGCACCTTCCGGAGATGCTGCGTCGGCGGTCGGCGTGGCATCGATGCCTATGTCCGTGAATGTTGACGCAGCATCGGTTTATTAAATGAAGGAGTCCCCTTCTGATATTTCTTTCTCTCTCTCGGATTTTTACTTCATATTTGCATTCCGAAAACACTCACTTTATCTTATATGGAAACGGGCTAAAGCCAAATACAAAGAATTAATGTCGTAAATCTATTATTCCTATTTTATCACCTAATAAAACATAAAGTAATTCTATAGGAGGTAATGAAAAGAAACTAATATCCAAGCGCTTTTCGATTCCAAGATTAGCAAGGTGATCTACTGATATCTTTAAGCGAAGCAGGGCCAACATTATTAATCATAAACTCTAGCCTAATAAGATGGCTTGATGGCTTTAGAGTAAATCTCAAAATAACGAAAAGGCTTATTTTCATTAATAGCCCAAGAAGTTAAAGCTTCTTACAAAAATAGGCATAATTCCCTAAGAAAACCCCAACATTAGATCCAATCCACATTTTGTCCTAAACTTTTTTTTGTTTCAAAAAAAACTTCAAACTTTAGATCCAGACTTGAAAAACCCCAAACTATAGTCTAGTCCCAAATCTGCCATGAATTTTGTTTTGTAAAAAAAAAAATCACCAATTTTCAATCCATTCTCAATTAATCAACCCCTGTGGTACAATCCCAACTTGACGTGACAATTTCATGTTGACAACAAATTCACATCAGCAATGTGACATGAAAAACTATCTCGAAAATGAAACCGTTCTAGGATATGAAAATTAATCACAGCTAACAGTGATTTTTGGACGAAGAGTCAATGGGGGCAGGTTTGAAACTAGAGTAAAAGTTAAGTAATTTTTCTCCTAGACAAAAAAAAAGTTTATGGTAAATTTGGGACTGAACCTAAAATGAGGGTTCTTCTTTTAGACAAAAAAAAATTTGGAGAAAAATCGGGACCAGACCTAAAATTGGGGATTTTTTTAGGGAATTAGACCTACAAAAATATTCATCAGAGAGTGCTCTTTTCCACATGAGGATGTTAGTGTGGATCGTATGCATCGAGTCTCACGTAATTCACTGTGAATATGTTTAGTTTGGCTTTTATATCGTTTAACTTTTAAATAAAAGTCTGACTATAAAAAAAAATTAGAAATTGTTTTGATTATAAAATAAATTAATCATCACGTCAATCTTATAAATTCAGAATTTTGTCGCAGGATAATGTCGCGCCGGTGGAATGTCCGACTAGACTCGCGAGCTCGCTGTTCCACATCAATGGCGCACACGCTCTGTCTCGGCGTCACTCTCTCCACACGCACTCCCCAACCACCTTCTTCTTCTTCTTCTTCTTCATCTTCATCTTCTTCTCGTTCATCGAGTCGGCCGTTGAAGCTCGCCGAGAGGAATCTCCGTTCGAACGCTTCGGATACTGCTCGAAGAAGAGGTAAAATGCTCTCTCTCTCCCGCTGAATTCGTCATGGAGAACGAAATCAGGAAGGCATCGGTCACGGTCAATCTCACCGAATTCGAGAGACGTTGCTGTGTGTAGTTGGTCTTGTGTGGCGTGTTTCTTCGTTCATCGAGCAACCAATGCGTTGATTTTGAGTCCACAATGCAGCGCTACTGTTGTTTTCCGCGCGAGATGATTCAGTGATTCGATGCAATGTTTATCAACTCATGGAAGGTGAATTTCACAGGTCCTGTTTCTCCTTCGCACAAAACCCAGAAGCTGAACTCGGAGGTCTCCCCTCACAGAGCTGGTATATAAGAGGACGCGTACACTTGAATTTTGTTCACGTCGAGCTTTGGCGCTATGCCTGTGCCTTCTACTTTGGAGTGTGTTTAGATGCGTATTCGATATCTCTATGTTTTTTGGGTCACCCGGTGGGATGAATTTCTTTACTTGTCTTCCACAGTATCTGCGGTCAGATTGATGAGAATAGAGCTGGGCGGTGCTTTCGCTGACCTCTTGAATGACAGAGGGAAAGGGTCTGGCGACAACGAGATGGGCTATGTCGAACGAACTCTCGGCTTCCGCACCCGCGAGTTGGATGATCGCGATCTGAGATTGGTCTCCTCTTCTTCTCCCATTATGCTGTTGATCGCGCTTCTGCCATTTCTTTCATGCTAGATTTAGTTAGGCAGCAGAAGGCACTAGCTTGAAGTTTCTTGGATGCAGCCGCTCCTATGCTAATTGAAACGATTTCTCATGCTTTCGAGAGTTTTAAATTATTTTTATGTAAACCAACCTAGATGATTTTGGCATGGGAAATTTTCCAATATAACCTCACTCGTCGTGTGAAATAGATCTTTGATAACATTTTTTTGCACTCTATAGGTCACAGATGTTGTTGGAGGCACCATCCGTTGGAGAAGGTTTCTTGATCACTTGATCGTGTCTTTATGCCATGACCAGAGCATGTTTAGAAGCATGGAACCACTTCTTCTACAGGTAACTTTTTCCTCAGTTTTCTTGAACTTGAGTGCAATATTTTGATTGAGAAAAATATTTTTTGGAAGAAGATGATAACTGCCGGATGGCTCAAAGAGACTGAATGTATGGTCAAATTGACAAAAAGTGGTTGTCTTTCAAGTGATTATAAATTGACAAAGATCGTCAGCTTATAGCATCAATGAAGACACTAGACTGCCACCTTCTCTATTAAGATTTATTGACTCCATCATCTGGTCCTCATTCATGCTTTGGTTTCAGGTGATAAGTCAATGCCACATGTGAAGTGAGCGGACATGATACTATTTTTGGCCAAAAAAAAAGATACAATGGAACCCTCTTGAACTTTTTAGAACAATGCTAACAATAGTAGAAAATTTTTGATAAATTGAGCTCAGGGTTAATTCTCCAACTTTTTTTCTCAGATTCTTCGGATCGGGATGTATGAGATTGTCAAGCTGGATATGCCACCTTATGCTGTTGTAGATGAGGTATCTCCTCGTCCTGAAGGATTACCATCAAACAGGGCAAATGGTTCTATTAGTTAGAAGTAACTGTATTGGTCATTGAGTTGGATGTTGCCATTTTTAATCTCTATTTCGAAATGCTGGTGACCAATTTGTCCTTATTTTTTTGGTGAGAAAAGATAGAATAATGTTTATCCTTGATTTGAGCAGTGATACTGGAAATGTTTTTAGACCCTTCCATGCACACTATAAACTACCTGTGCTAAACTAGCTGCCGCACAGATGACTGGTAAATGCTGCTAATTCAACTTTTAGCAGGATGTCTTGACGTGGCCACGCTTATCAATATGGAAACTTTCATGGAGTTTCCAATGACTAGTTTAGACAAACAAAAATCTTAATATTCCAGTAAACAATGCTTTTATCTAGCTCAGCACCTCAGCCCCGTTAAAATGAGGTATAACTGGTTATTTAGGTACCATTAAACTCTTATCATTTTAACTTTTCCGAATAATCTCAACTGATATATGTGGAACTTCATATTTTTCCTCAAGTTGGTTGCATGCTGCAATTTTTGTATATATTGCAGAATGTAAGGCTTGCTAAGGTTGCCCTCAGACCTGGTGCTGGCAACATGGTGAATGGTATTCTCAGGAAGCTAGTCCGGCTAAAGGTCTAATATCAAATTACACTAGATACTGATGAATCACTTGGTGGCTCTGTTTAATGCATTTAACTTTTGGGTCTCAGGAAAGTGATGCTCTTCCACTGCCTAAATTGGAAGGTGATGACCGTGCACAAGCACGTGCTCTTGCCACTCTTTATTCTCACCCTGTGGTGAGTTTGCATCTCTTGCCACTTTTCTTAAGAAGAATGCCTGTTTGATATAATCTGAAACACCATCCTCATCCATTGCATGAAGAGTATAACCAGACTAACTCTTTTTGTCAGTTTCCACAATCTTGAAACTGCTTTCCTTGTCAACAAGCGTCATTGGGTCGACTATACATGCACTTCTTGTTATTCTAGGCAGGGTCAAGTAGATCTCATGGTGAATGTGTTTATGTTTTGTTTCATGAAACTCTTACTAATGAGTTTTACGAAATATTTATTTTTATCTGGTCTTTTTGGAAAAGGTTTCTCTGCCTTCTTATTTTGTTGTTGTCATCTCAATGATCCTACATGGGTACATAGCTCTTATTAAATGCAAGATAGCTAGTGATCTGACAGAGCATGCTACTCATGCCAAGTTCTTTATTCTTGCTTAAATCTTGTAGTGGATGGTAAGGCGTTGGACTAAGTACTTTGGGAGAGAAGAAGCAATAAAACTGATGGTTTGGAATAACAGTGAACCCAGCTATAGTTTAAGGTTGTTCTCTAAATTTTGGTTTCTTAAACATATAGTTTCATAAAATATAGGAGGAAAAGCTTACACTGTTATTGACATCTCAGGGCAAATACTGGAAAAGGTGTCACAAGAGCTGACCTTGTGAAGCAGCTTGACATGTTGGAGGTTCTAAATGCTTATCCTTCTAAATTATTTAGAGATATGCTTGGTGCCAAATGAATCTGACCACACCTCATTGATTTGCTTTGCTACAATTATTCGAAATATTCGCCTTAATTACCCTCCAGAATGGAAAGAAGGAATTTTGCACCGTGATTTCTTAGGCTTCAACCCCCCTCTCTCTCTCTCTCCAGTTGGTTGGTACCTGAATTAAGTGCAGTGTGCTGACAGCTGATTAAGTGCAGTGTGCTGACAACTGATGCAGTTTCTTTCTTTGGTTTAGGTTCCGTACGAGTGTTCCTTAAATATGGAGGACTTTGTCCGAATTAAGACTGGAATGCAGGTAGTAAGGCTATAAAGCTTTAATTTCATTTACCTATAAGAGACTTTAAAAAGTTCCTTTCTGGAATTAGGATAGCTGAAAAGAGCTAAATGCCACACCTTGGTTTTTCTGGCTTCAAACCCTTTATGGGTAGTTGGCAAGTTCAGATTAAACTGGGGGACATCGTATTGATCCATGTAGGGACTTTGTTTCATGAACTTGAAGTTGTTTGTACATCTTAAGCTCTAAAAATCAATACCAAGAAATGAGGCCATGCCTACAATTTACATGATACCAACTACTTGATATATTTTACCCTTCTTTAGAATATCTTGTGTTACCTTTGTTTGGGTTTTGAAATTTACGTTTCTCTTTTCCCTTAACCAAGATCATCATACAAGCTGGATTGCTTAAAGAAGGTACATGTGCAGTCCAGGATGAGAGTGCAGGTAACTTTTTGTCCCACTCTAATGTGTGGTTCTGGATTTGAGCTACTCTTTCACCAAATGTGTGTTGAACTACTGGGCAGCTCAGAGAAGTTAAATCGTGCTCCAGCTTTCCATCTTGTTTATTTTGGCTAATGACAGCCCATTATGATTTCAAACAGGTTTGGTAGTCTTGCTTTTGGATCCTCAACCTAGCGACTGCATTATTGATTGTTGTGCTGCTCCTGGAGGAAAGACTCTCTACATGGCATCCCGTTTAAGTGGACAAGGTATTGCTTTAACCAAGTACGAATAAGCGCTTCCCCACTTTTTCTTTTAATTGTTTCAGCAGAATTTTCATTTATGCTATATAAATGAGCTTTATAATTTTTTATACAAGATGCTCTTTTTTGATAAAACACTACATCTCTCTCTCTCTCTCTCTCTCTCTCTCTCTCTCTCTCTCTCTCTCTCTCTCTCTCTGTCTCTCGTTCAGAATCCTCTTTTCATAAATCTACTGTTCTTGTCAGAACATAAATTCTGGAGACTTAAAAGAGTTTCCAAGGCAGAAGATGAGGCTACATTTCTTAGAGAGTACTAATTTTATCATTGAAATGTTTGGGGAACTCACCTTGTGTGTGTCTCAGGGATGATCTCTGCTATTGATGTAAACAGCGGAAGATTGAGAATCCTCCAAGAGACTGCAAAGGTGCACCAGGTTGATGGAGTCATCACTACGGTCCATGCAGATCTTCGTGGTTTTGCTGTAAGTTATTATCTTTTTGAAGAAAGAAGTTTTCTTCAGCATGTCTAATAGCTATTTTGCGTTTACAAGGGCAATAACTCACTGAAGGCCCATAAAGTCTTGTTGGATGCTCCATGTTCTGGACTGGGTGTTTTGTCCAAGGTAACATAGACATTTTCTGCAACAATTATCTGCTGATGATTTTGCTTGAGATTGGATGCACCTGATATGTCCTCATGGAAACACTGTAAATGGAATCATGACTCATGAGAATACTTGTGGGAATCCTTATCATCCTTAGAAGACTGCTTGTCTTCTCTATTATTGGGAAATAGATGGCATTTTATGTCCCAAAGATATCATATTGGCACCTGAATCCCTGTATCTCTTATCAAACTTGTCAGTCGCTACTTTAAATCTTATTTCTATATAATATTGTGCTCACACATGCACTTAGATGCATTTTATACCTTCTTGACAGCAATACTGTAAATGGCCACCTTTTTCCATCCTTTGTCTCTAAAGTCACCTGATCATAGTTCCGTCAAATGAGCTCTAACAGTTATAAGTTAGTTATGGGTACCATAATAAACTTGATTACAGTCTTCTATTAAAATTGCCCAATTTCATAGATCACAGACAGGTAGGAAGCACTAAAGATAGAGAGAGAGAGAGAGAGACAAATAGACAGACATGCGTGTAGTGGTAGATTTAAACCGATATCTCTGTTGTTTGGCTGGGTAGATCGTATCGTTGTTCATGCTGTAAACATAGTTGTGGGAGTATTAGAAAGCTAGTGGGTGGTCAGAGCTGGAAAAAGAATTCAATAAAAAGTAGGGAGAAGAAAGGTCAAACTCTTTTTGTCTTTCTAAAGCTGAAATGACACTAAATTTTTTTACACTGTGGATCATATTCTAAAGTTTAGGCATATATCCAAGAAGCGCCTAAGCTCATGTGCTTGGTCACATTATATTAATGATTTTATTTTATGAATTGTCCCACATCCATTTGTTACTGTGGCATGGGAAATGAGCCTAAGGCTTGACTTAATTGGATTGACAAAGTCCATAAAGGGGATAGCTTGATTTTTTGTTTTGGTCGAAGGGATAGCTTGATTTGGGAGGTGGGCAATTGTTGCCAAAATAGAGCTAGAGTGAGACAAGTGTGAGTTGAATTGTCCTGTTACGTTGACGTCAAATGGTAAATGATCTATCTGACTGCCGAAATCTTCTTTGGGCTTTCGAAGAGAGCTGACTTACGGTGGAATAAGAATTTAGAAGATCTGGAAGAGCTCAAGGAACTGCAAAATGAACTTCTTGATGCAGCCTCCAGGTGTGACTGACGACTTCTTTTCCCTGAGAATCATTGTTGTGTTATCCCATCTCAGTTCTTTTCCGTGCATTTCCCGTGAGATGAACTTGTTAATCTTACTAACCTGAGTGAGTTTGTTGAAGTCATGAAAAATCCTGTTTCTCTGATCTATTTCTGGAATCCCTCTGTTATAAGTATACCAAAAAGAGATTCCCCTACCACATGTATGTATGTGAAGTCAATGCCCATATCTCAGCACAGAATAAGTTATAGTAAAAGTGAGTGAACAAGACTGTGGATGGTGCAAGTCAAGTTTCAAATGTAACTCTCCCCCCAACATGTGACTCTCCTCTCTAATCTGGGCATGCATCTTCAAATTGGGTGCATGGCACCGAGAAGCCTATCTCTTATGCCCTTTTTCCTCTAATTAATTCCTCAATTTTCCATTTGATATTAAGATTGGTGAAGCCTGGTGGTGTGTTAGTGTACAGTACTTGCTCCATTGATCCTGAAGAGAATGAGGAGAGAGTGACAGCATTTCTTCTCAGGCATCCGGTATGTCAATGATAATTGTCAAGTTGAACGTTTGTGTTATATCATGTTTAAATTTTAACTAGTTATTGAGATATGATGGTGGGATGACGATAGTAGCACATCTCATTTAGATTTGGGATAATGACACAAATGGTCCATGAACTTTGGCCCAATATGCAACGTGGTCCCTGAACTCTGAATTTGTTCGATGTGGTGAACAAATTAAAAGTCCAGGGACGACATTGGATATTGAACTAAAGTTCAGGGACCACATCGAACAAATTCAGAGTTCAGGAACCACGTTGCCTATTGGGCCAAAGTTCATGGACCATTTGTGTCATTTACCCTTTAGATTTCAAAGAAAGTTAACAAATTGAAGATGTTGGAAGACTGCTGATTTTGGTTGCATTGTTCTTCCTGTGGTATAGCTGAGAACTCTATCGTTGGCATTTTCGCTGTTTTTCCTGTAGGAGTTCTGCGTTGATCCTGCGGACAAGTATGTCCCTTGTGAATTTGTAACGGAAAGGGGTTTCTACTTCTCCAATCCAGTTAAACATTCCTTGGATGGGGCCTTTGCAGCTCGTCTTCTCCGAGCTTTATAGTTGTGGTGTGTAATTTGTTTATGTGGTTTCTTTAGTCTTACCTCTAAAGAAATAGTTCATGTGATGTTCTTAACAATTACAGCTGGCCACTTCATATAGTCCTATATTCTTAATGTCTTTGGGGGGCGGATGCTCAAATTGGACTTGAAGCTGTAAAATCCATCTGTCATTCAAAATGGTTGCTATTAGCCTCCTTGAGTGATCATGCCAGCTCCAGTGAACTGTTTTCTTGGCACATGTAAGAGCACATCTCTTTCACGACCATTAAATTATATATATTTTATGGGGCGTGTACTTAAGTTGATAAAAATCTGCCGTTCCTCATGCTGCAGCTGATTCCAGTTTTTAGGTGTGCTGTGTCTGCATGACTCAAAGTCTCATGTTCCGTTGCAGCTTTTTATTGGTTCTTGGCTCAGTTGAGGTTAATAAGTTTAAGACGGCAGATGCAAGGTTATGTTCAACCTGATCCCACTCATACCATGCTTGAGAAATGTGCTTACCATCATCGGCCAGAATATGTAGCCCCTAATCCAGCTAGCTTTGAGCTCCAGCCCAACCCCTCCATGGTAGATCGGTGCAACACAATACAGAGAGAGAACGAATCAAAGGCATGAAGCAGACGCATACCCCCTGTTGCTGTGGATTAGCTTACTCCCATTTTTAGAGTCTCACGGTTGAGGGTTACAAGCGGCATTACACTCTATCTGTTTGCACCAAAATTTCTGTAGTTTTGTAAGAATTCTTTCACATTGAAATGTTATAGCCATAAAATTCCTGGATTGTAGGTTTTTGAATGATCCAAGTCAATGGAATGGCTATAGTAAGGAGGATTTTGGCGATGTAGCTCTCTGTAGTTCTGTGTGAACAATGGGAAAATGTTTCTTCAGTGGTACCAAAAGGGCCAGCAAACCAAGAGCCACGTAGGATACTTCGAAGTGATTATAGGCACATACGAAGAGTACCGCCGATGTGGAATCTGTTGCGTGAAGCCCGCACGTTATATGGTTCATATATGGTTCACGAGTGTCATTTGGAGCAGGCTTGGTTCAACCCTTGTCACTGCTTACTCGGAAACCGTAGGAAGAAGCAAGAGGAGGCGAGGCAGAAGCGCAATGACCATCGCGAGAGGAGCAACCGAACATGCGAGCCAATCTGAGTAATGTCAACCCTCGGGTCGCTGATACAGAAGCCATTGCAATGCAACAGTTGGGTTGTGACGATGATGCTTAGGTTCAGTTCATAGACAAGTGAAAGCTGGGCTAAGCTTTAGGCGGAGAGTTGGAATGGACAGGAGACCAAAGGTTTGTGCATGCATGGGAAGTTACAGTTTAAAGGTATGTCCACATTACACACTGAGAAAAAATTGTAACTTCTTTGGTTGGAGATGATTTCCAGGGATTTCAATCTTTATTAAAGCTCCATTTATTTCGCGAAAAATAAATTATTTGAAAAATAATTTTTTAAAAATGATCCCTTGTATCGCTTAAAATAATTAGTCGATGACAATTTATATCTAAATATTTTTATAAATGATGAAAAAAAATTATTCATTCATTTTTGTAAGCTATATAAGTGATTCTTTTTAGAAAAATATTGTCTAAATCATTCATTTTTCGTGAAACAAACAAGGCGAAGATATTTTTTGTTCAATCATTTTTGTAAGCTATATAAGTTATTCTTTTTTAGGAAAATATTGTCCAAATTATTTATTTTCCGTAAAACAAACAAAGTCAATAAGTTTTAATGAGTTCGTGGAGAAGAAATCCCTCCCATTCAATTGATTAGTGGACATGGTAAATTATATAATTCTTAAAAAAATCATGTAGAGAATAGTATATCTTAAATTATTAAGAAATAATGTTGGTAGTTAATTTAAGAACTTGTCGAATCTTTAGCAATTCAAACAATTTTTTCTTATTTTTCGATTAATTTTAAATCATATCTGCACAAAATTCATCGTTTAAGAACTCGTCAACTTCTTAATGCATTAGCATCTATCTTTTTTCTCAAATCTTAAACCCTTTTAAATTATGTAAGCACTTGACTTAATGCGTGCACATAGTTAAGTAATTATGTATGCTGTTATAAAAAAAATATACAGAGAGCCTTCTTACTTTTAGGGATACCAATCATTTCTTTCTCTTCTCTCAAATATTCTTCATTATCTATTTTACGAATATTTAGTACATGGGCAAATAGGTAATTTCATAATATTATTTTTCTCACATTTTTCCAGTATTGAAATTTGAATCTCATAGTAATCTTCCCAACAATAATTTCTTTCCATTATCTAATAATCCACTATTGCGTAATAAAATAATTTTGCTTAATTTTTCAATTGGCAATTTCTTGCGACGTTATTCATAAAATAGATATCTTTTTGGGGTTTTTTGTAATATAAAATTAATTTAAAATAAATTTATTAAGCTGTGTTGATTTGAACCTTTCATTTTTTATTGCACGCGCGCGCGTTAGTGCTTAGTTTTCACGATATGCGGAGACGTTCCCATGCGACGGGCCAAAGGTCTCGTCGGCGGTCGACGCCGCTTCTTCCTTCCACTTTCCGACTCCCATCGGAATCGTCAAACACGTCGAAGGCCGAAAAGCTCAAATCGAACCTCTCTCTCTCTCTCTCTCTCTCTCTCTCTCTCTCTCTCTCTCTCCGGTACGCAATCTCGATCGGCGAGGTCGTCTCCCTCCTTTGCAAACGCCGTCGCGCTGTCATCGCCGAACGCGAGCTCCGGGGAATTCCGCGTTCGTTAGCTGATTCTTGCCCCCGTTTCCTGTTAGCTTTCGACGTCGAGAAGATGGACGTTCCCCTCCCGATGGAGAAACTGTCGCCGAGATCGTCCGATGAACCGTGAGTTGCTCGGCTTTCTGAGGCTGAATCGTTTTGAAATTTTTGCGAAACCGTGTTCGGTTCCGGATGCACGCGAGCAAGTCGCTCTCGTCCGTTCATGTATCGCTCTTTCTTCTGTTCATCATTCGGGATCATTGATATTGCACCAACTTGGGGGGCGCCGTATTTTGTTGCTGATTCGAAGAAAGTGATTTGGGTTTTACGTCGTTCGCGACAGGAGAAACGGGTACGTGGTTCTGGTGGCGACCGGAAGTTTCAATCCTCCTACTTATATGCATCTGCGCATATTCGGTAACTCCCTGGCTCCGCTCACAAGTTAAGTTTGGCATGTACGAGTGAATGATCAGGGCTTTCACCAGGAACGAGGTGGTGGAAAAAATGATACCCATTTGATGATTTTTGGGTGTGTGGTTTCTCTGTGTAAGCTAATAAATGGTGCTTCTTCGTGCCCTTGAGCACATTCTGTTTTGAGTCTTTTTTTCTTCCACCACTATGTATGTTTAAGACTGTCGCCAGATTCTATCTTTATGGTGTATCTCATGTTCATCCATCATGAATATAGTCACACATTGCATGTCCAACTCTGTCTTTAAGCGCTGTGAAAATATGAACTCTGTCTTCCGGAAGATCTTTTAGATGATTCTGGTGTCGGTGAGTGGGGGTGCATGACGTGCACCTCTCCTTGAATTTCTTGAATAATGTACGTTATATAATGATTGCATGTTATCCAGTTTAGGTTAATGCATACTAGTTTGAATATGTATTTTGCAAAGAATTAGTGCTGATCTTGAAGATGTTTTCTCATCTTCAGCAAACTTTGGATTTTCCACTCTGTTTCTTAATGCCTTACGTGAATTTCCTAGAGCTGGCAAGGGATGCACTCAATGCAGAAGGGTATTCTGTCATTGGAGGTTATATGTCACCTGTCAACAATGCATACAAGAAAAGGGTATGTGAATCTCTGTAACTTGTCGAGTAGCAAGTAACCAAATAGTAAGTAATATTGATAGGTTTGCGGAGGTGACACGGTAATAAGTTATTATGTACGGAACAGTCGGAATTTCATGGCAGGTGAAACAGTGAACAAAAGGTTGATTCTTAACATAAATTTGGCATCCGTGAAATGAAGGGATTCTTGTGTCACGTGCATAGATGTTGCTGTCATTTCGTGCTAATTATGAAGAAACGGAGTAGCTATTCCTTGTAAAGTTTTGTCAAGAACTATTAGACATGATAGTAATAAATTTGTGATGGATGATATGTATAAGTAAATATCTAGTCTGGATGGTTGATCCTTAACAATAAGGTGATCAGTTGAGGCTCAACATGTAAAATGAGATATAGTCTATCTTCGCATTTGTACAGACTACTTGATTAAATTTCTCGACTTTTTGCTTGTATTTTTTATCATCATTGTAGCTACAGAATAAACTAGTGTTGTTTCTTTCCTTTCATTTTAGCACTGATCAGTAACCGAATGAAGTAAGTGCTTGTGTAGGGTCTCATATCAGCTGAGCATCGGATACGTTTATGTCATCTGGCCTGCAAGAGTTCTGACTTCGTAATGGTTGATTCATGGGAGGCAAATCAAAGCACCTCCCAACGCACTCTGACTGTTTTATGTAGAGTGAAGAGTATCTTGTGTCAGGAACGGCAGCTATCCTTTGGTAAATATGGTAGAGTTCATTTGATTAAATTGCATCGTTGATTTTTGCCTACAAAACCGTTCAGTTGTGAGTCTCAATGCTAGTGAAAAGTTATTACATAGAGTGGTGGTTATTCTGTCTCTTCATATAGTCAGTTTTGGTGATTGCCAAAAACCTATGTTGAGGAGGAGGTGGGGAATGTGGTTTCCTGTCCTTGCTTCAACGGTTCCCACGGACTCAATCTGACCAAGTTCACTGGAGAAAGTGGTGTCTGCAACCTAACATAATGCTGCTGGAGAACCGTAACAGTTCCTGGAATGTTTGATTTTATGCAAGGGATCAGAAGTTTTCTGGGAGGCAATTTCACAGCTTCCGCTGTCTCTTTTTTATGCAGATTCCCTTAAAGTCATGCTCGTTTGTGGTTCTGATCTACTCCAATCTTGTGGTGTTCCTGGAGCTTGGATTCGTGACCAGGTGGATATATTTCCTAATACAGTCCACATTAATGGGGCATGCAATTTGTCAATTTCTATCTTGTAGCTCACGATGCTAAAGTTTGCTGGACATGGTGGTCTTTCGACAGTTATTTTTTCAACTGTCATTATATCCGATGTTTTTAAAATGAGGAAGGAGATGAGACTGACTAGACAGTTCCTTCCTTTAAATCCAACTATTACATGCCTGATTGAAGTGCTATTTTCTTGTTAAGTTGTACATGAGATTTGGTTTTCCATTGTTGGTATGTGTGAAATGACGGGCACTAATTGAAAGTGAACTGAGAGTTAATGGGTTGCAGCAGTGATTGATGGATCACACTTTTTGGTCATTGCTTCAGGTAAGAATTATATGCAAGGATTACGGCGTGGTTTGCATACGTAGGGAGGGACAGGAAATTGAGAAGATAATTTCAGATGATGACATTTTGAGTGATTACAGGGTAACTCCTCTTGCTTAAACTTTCTTTCTCTTTGTGGGGACAATTTAGACCGAGCTGCCACAGAAAGTTTTTCCCTAAAAACGTGCTTTTCTTTAGACTAGAGTCTAGAATTCTAGATCCAGTTGTCGAACAATCTGGATTGTGTTTTACTGTGCTGCAACGTGCAGCATTTGATGCATCTTTAGTTGACTTTTTTTAAAGGTTCAAAGCGTTAAAACAAGAAGCATCATATTTAATGAAATAGTCAGTTCAGATAGTTTAAGTGCAATGTAGCTCTGAAAGTAGCCAATTCTCCTCCCTTACTGAATTTACCTGCAGGAGAATATCAAAGTGGTGGATGAACTTGTTCCAAATCAGATAAGTTCAACACGAGTGAGGTACTGAGTGATCCATTTGTTGAAGTTGCGGTAGCCAATTAAAATATTTGATACTGAGAAGTCTTCTGCTTTCTGCTGTTATTATAGGGAATGCATTTCAAGAGGGCTTTCTATAAAATATCTGACTGAAGACGAAGTGGTTGAATATATAAAAGAACATCATCTATACTTGAAGTCAAACGAAGAGTAGACAAAGGTATTGCATCTAAACTATGCAGTCATTTCTTTTGTTCTTTCTTGGAAGCATTTTCCAATGGCGAGCCCGATAACCATTGTTCATAATGTCAAGATGGTGAACCTTGATTCTCTGATTTGATCTCTGAAGCCATAGGTTGAGTAACTAACAGAAGGCCCACTTGATGCACTATCTGAGTGTAGATTTATTCCTCCCAGTTTTTTTCTTGTACACTGGATGCACCTGAATATACGGGCATCTCTTGAACTTTTTTACTGCTCTTCTTTAGAATTGGATATATATTTGAAGAAATTTCTTTTTTCCAGTCAATGCAGTTTCCCCCAGACGAATGAAATTCTTGGTTGCACTAGCAAAATATTCTTGGAAGGTGCAGTTGGGAGAGTATGCTGGATACGCCTTATCTTATCCATCAATTATGAACATTTAATTCCTTGCTTGAAGAGCTAACACCTAAATCAGTGAGCTTCAGCCAACCAATTTACCAGAGGATAGATTGATTATTGTCATATCAGGTCCTCTAAGTCCTCTAAGTAACTCATTACTGGTCTATTGAATAATTCACATGTGTTCATATTGTTTCCATTCATCTGTTCGTGAACCACTTACTGACATCAGTTTATACACAATCTGCATTGTTCTTTTCCGGAATGACTCAACGGCAGCTGTTCGTTGATCAAGTCGGATGAAAGAAAAGGCATTTTATCATGAGAAGTTCATAGTTTGCTTTGAAGTATCTTCCTAATGAGTTTTTGTCTCTCCCCATTTTCTGTACTTCTGGTTCTGGATCCCTGGGATGGAGTAAATTAGCTCAATTGTTGCCTTATTTGAAGTTTGAAAAGGTAAATCAAGAGATGTTTTGCTGTAGGTTGAATCAATTCTAGAGCTGCGTATTTCTCTTTTCCTTTGCCCTTAATTAATTTGGGCTGGACCATATATAAAAGTTGCTGACGCAGATGTATACAATCTTGAACTAAGTTGCGCTAGCTGTGTCCCTAGGAGTTTAATCACCAAAAAGAGCCCACTGTTTGTCCGTTCCGGGTCTCTCTCTCATGCAGATGAAGTAAAGGTTTCTTTACTACCCCTTGCTAAGCCATGACAGATGTTGTGCCCTGCGGCACCAAAATCCGCAATATTACAAAGCAGAAGGGATGAGAACCACACTGACCTTCGCATTCACACAGTGAAACAGCCCGTCAAAAAACCTGTACACAGGTGTAGGATTCTCTTGAAACCACCGTATAACCCTTTTGCGACTCTCTCCGGCTCTATACCTATAACCTACCGCCGTTCTTGATCCTCCTTCACAGGTCACAGGGGTCCTCAAAAGGCTGAAATGTCTCTGCAAAAGCTGTTGATCTCACTTGCTAATGTCTTGCTGATCCTCTGTCATGATTGTGTAGTAGAGTCGAGGTCCAGGGTTGTTTCCAAAACTGGCTTGCTTTCTTCTTCATCTGCTTCTGCTGCAACATGCACCAATTGCACAATCTGCCAGTACCCATGTCACACTTTACCTCCCCCATTACCGCCCCAAGGGTACCCTCTCTATGGAGCGCCGCTGCCACCGCCTCCGCCACTGGCCACGGGCTATCCGGTGTCGGGAGCACCGCCGCCACCATTGCCGGTTCAAGGGAATTTCCCGCCGGGTCAGTTCACCGCCTGCTGTCAGTTTGCCCCCCCAATTCCTTATGGTTATAGCCCTCCTAATCCTTATGGATTTGTGCCCGTTGACAACCGCTCTGCTGCTCTTGCTTTTTTCCCGTCCTTGCTCTGGTCGATAGTCGTCGTGCTTTGCTTTATCCACAATTAATGGTAAGTTTGATTTTCTTCTTTGTTATAGGGTATCTGAATTATAACCCCGTTGGCTTCTGTCATAAAATAATTCTCGTGTCATTGCATGTATAATACCCGCTCCGTGTACTTATGTGTTCCTTTCACTCGTTGAGCAAAAGTCGTTTTGTGCTCCTTGTGAAAATAAGGTAACATTCGCATTTCACTAGTTTAAGGTATATGTATCATATTAACTTGAGTCGATTGTAAGTGAGACGGACACAAAGATGTCCGATAAAACGATCTTGTCAATATCGGTACAAATGATCTTCCCCTCGGGTTCAGCTACGGCGGTAACCCCTTGAATCTAGAGCCACTTGACTTATTGATAACTACGACTTATCATGATAAAATTTACAGTGTTACCATGTGAACCATAAGATCACCAAGATTGCGTTTAGGCTGCTGTAATTAGGATGCAAATAACTCATTCACTATCAAACAATCTCATAATGAAATATACAGAAACTCTAATATGTTACACCTCCTGAGACAAACTCTAGTTGAACTTGCAACACGTCAAAAGCAAATCATAACCACAGAAAACCCTTACAAATACACACAAGAGACACCAAAACCAATCAAGAAACTATGACTAGTTCAATGGGAATAAATACTACATCCTACGAACCACCTCTCACCTGACTTATTTCACTCCAAAAATGAAAACATCTAAAGGCACAATAAACTCATAGCAGAAAATGCGCACCAAACCACAAGCTCCATACGAGAAAACCAAATCTTGCGCTTCCAAACCTCACACTGCCATTACTATCTGCGGTCTGATCAGCAACATCACCATCGGGAGAGTCAGCCGGTGAGTCCGCAGAAGCCGGTACCGACTTCCTCTTCGAAGACTTCGGCGAATCAGCCGCCTTCTCGGGTGCAGGAGCTGGGGCCGGAGTCGGGGCCGCCGCCTTAAACAACTCCTTCGGCATCAGAACCTTGTCGATCGAATAGATTGCGAGCGGCTGCTCGTCTAGCAGAGTCCCGGTGATCTTAACAGTGTTGACTCTGGTCTTTAGGGTCACCTGTTCGCCGTCGTTCTGCACCGTGAAGTCGTACTTGCTCGCCCCGTCGGTCGCCAAAGTGTTCATCGGTCCATTGTTGGACTTCAGCATGGCCATGGACAGGTACATCGGTATGGCGAAGAACTCGAGGAAGGAGGCCTTCCCGGGTGCTGACAAGTTCTTGTACTTGGGTAGAAATTGCTTGAAGGGATCATCAAGAGGGCAAAATGTGGTTAAGCCTCCTTCCACATTGTCCTGCAATTGGAAAACAAGGACAATCACTCAGCTATCAGAACCCCAACACAAGGTACAAATACTTCTAGAAAAGATAACCTGAATTAACAACAGGGCAAGACATTCAAGCAGCTTAGGTTCTTCACCTGCTTGACCATTTAAGGCTGTATTTATTAACTTGCCAGGGCACAACTTAGGTAGTAATTAAGTACAGCTCCACGCATGCTATTAATGGCCAATGTTGCAAGAACTAAATTAATCCCAAATGTTCATTGTTTACCTCAATTGCATGTCGACCTCTTTCAAAAACTCCAAACAAGAAGGAGATCTCAGCGCTAAGATGAGACCACCAAAGATTTTTATCCGACATTCATCAAGTTCAGACAGCGGCTGACCAGTTCTGATGTCCAAATCAGAAAACCCCAACAGAAAAAAGTCAACAGCTTTGGACTCCTCATTCCCTAATTAGTAATCACTTAAGATTAAGAAGCAACTTGCTCTTTACTCTACTAATTACCTCTAATCCATCCACTAATTAATTAAGATCCATAATTTAAGAAACCCCCACATACCCACCCGCTCACCTCGTAAGTCTTCATGGCGTCCGCGTTCGCCTCCAGCGTGTCGGCGAACGCCTTGCACCCGTGCGCCGACATCAGCCTCGTCAGGTTCATCTCGCTCGGCCCCGGGGTCGGCGCCGCCGCCACGTCGGAGGGCAGGGCGTTGCTGATCTGGATCACCGAGATGTTGTACGGGATCTCCTCGAGGCCCTTGACGAAGTAGGTGTCCAGGTGGCCGTTGTTGTCCTCGGGGGCGAACCCGACCTTGCCGCCCTTGAGATCGGTGATGTTGACGAAGCCGGTGGAGCCCGGGGCGGAGCCGGTGGCCTGGAAGAGGGTGGCGGCGAGGGCGGTGCCGTTGGTGATCTGGTGGAGCTTCTTGGGGCCGAAGTAGTCGAGGAGGACGTGGAGGGAGAGGATGTTCTTGAGGGTGGCGATGGTGGGGTGGGGGGCGAGGAGGCGGCTCATGGCGGCGTTGTCGAGGGCCATGACGGTGATGGTGGTGCGGCTGTTGATCTCGGCCGCCAGGTGGGTCTCCGTCAGGTAGTGGTTGAAGGTCGAGAACTCCGGGTGCTTCGCCAGGAGGCGCGTGATGTTGTGCGCGCGGGCGACGGTGAGGGCCGCCGCGAGGAGGGAGAGGGCGAGGCGGAGGAGGAGGGGGAGGCGGCGGAGCTGCATTGTGGCTGCGGCGGCGGCGGCGGCGGCGGCGCGTGAGGGGAGGGGAGCGGAGGTGGAGAGAGGGGGAGAGTGAAGGACGAGGAGAGAGAGTGGAGCGTGGAGTGCAGGGGGGAGCTGAGCTGAGCTGAGCTGAGTAGCATAAGCAGGTCTAGAGAGAGAGACAGAGAGATGGGTGGTCTTGGAAATGGGGCTGGTTTTGGGGGTATTTACTAATCAAGCCACTGCTTAAAGTCCTTTTTTTTTTTTTTTGTTAGTACCACCAAAAAACCTCAGATGACACTTACTGTGACACCAATACACTTACTGTGACACCAATACCGTAAATTTTTTTGTGTTGCTAAAAATCATAAACTTACTCATGGTGACATAAATATCCTAAACATTTTTTTGTCATAAAAAATCCCGTACTTATACGATATGACAAATATATCTTGGATGGAACTGAAATAAGATATATATATATATATATATATATATATATATGTCACACATGTACACAAAAAAATTAATGGTATTTATGTCGCAGTGGGCAAGTTAGGATTTTCGGCGACAAAAAAAAATTTGATCATACTTTTGTCACCGAAGACATAATTCGGGATTTTTTGTGGTATTTGCTCCTTTTTTTCAGATTCTTCAACAAATACCCGATCACATGATACCTTGAATCAACTTTGACACTAATTAAGTATCCGAGACTTCTTGGTTACTTACTCTCAATCAGACATAATGATTCTTTCATCACACACACATTGCGTAGGAAAAACACATTAATTCTCGTGACGGCGTGATAAGATAGCGATATATACATATATTTGGCACCGGATCCGACATCTCAATCTTATGGGCCAAAAGCATATTAACATTATAGAGTTCGAAAAGGGTGACTTTACCTGAGGCATGATTGAACTCAACGTGAGTCTAAGATGACAATTACACCTTCGATTGGACTAATGATGTCCACCGCTTTCTTTCTTTGTTTCCTAAAAGATGTGATG